GAAAATAAACCTATACATTTTATGTGGTTTGGCTAGTTAAATTACAAACGTTAAAAATATATATTTACCATAATGACAAGATTATTGTTAAATGCCTACTAGAAAAATCTATAAAACAATTTGTTAACCAAAATAGAATTTCGTAATGTTAATGCTAAAGGCATTTCCTTGAAAATAGCTCGCACCTGCTGAAGTGGAACATTTTCCACGATTTTCATGATTATCGCTTGAAAATGGCCAAATTCGCCACTCCGTTTGTCTAGCCAATGCACACACACGCGAACGAGTGTGTGTTGTGTTGTGTGTGCTCTTCTCAACCCAAGAAAATTAGTCTGAATTGGAATTCGAGTGGCGCGCAGTAGCCAAGAGGGCGGACTGAGCTGCAGTCAGCGCCAATTCAACTTCAACTCTGAGCGGCAATTGTTTGCCATCAGACATCAGCCATCAGCCATCAGCCAAGGTATCCGAGCAAATGGGGGGGAATTGAGTAATTGACTTCATTGGCTGCTGCAGCACTTTTTTCTATTGTGGTTCGAAGCTGCTTAGGTAAATTGCAATACTCTGCAGACAGATTAGTTGCGGAAACGGGTCTGATTGGGCAAGTGCAGACAGAATTATTTGGGCGGGCCTGGGAGAAAGGGAAGTCGCTAAACGGTTTGTGGGTGGAATGGCGGTGAATGGGCGTTCGTTTAGTAAGGCATGATTAAATTCATAGATTTTTTTTAGTTACTAGAAAAGTACTGTCACGAATTAGATACTAATATTTCTTAAATTAGAAAAAAATAAATTTAAATTCAAAAGGATAGGCCAAAAAAATGTATTTATTAATTAAATGGTTTAAAATTTTTTTTTTATAATATTAAAACAATTTCCCATTGTAGAAAAATTGGTACTTAAAATCAAGTAAGAAAATATATACCTAAGAGTAAAGAATTAAAAAAATAAGGATTCTAAATAAATATGTCTAAATTTATATGGTCATTGAACAGGAAAATTAATTTTTCCGCTTTTAGTCAATTTTTAAAACTAACTTTTATTTTACTTTAAAAATTTAATTTTCTCATCTTTAAAAATAAATTAAATTATCCATTTTATTAACCACTTTATCCTACCAAAACTATAATCCCCCTGAACCGATCACAGTGCACTCGAAAGCCGTCTTGAGTGGATTATTAACTGGTAGATTCTGCTGTGCTAACAATCTCTTGGCCACCAGCCACTTGTCCAGTTCAGTTCAGTCCAGTTGAGCCGAGTTGAGTTGATTCCAGTGAGGCGGTCAGTTGGATTTCATGCTCTAGATAATAACATGCAGTTAGTGCGAGTGCTTTGAATGCAAACTTTTCGGCTGCTTGGCAACAAAAAGTATATAAAAACCCATGCAAACTGACTAAAATGTATAAAAAATAAATTAAAACTTGATATTTTATTGACTTTCAACATTGGACGGGTTATTACCCGTCGAACGGAATCGAAATCGGAATCTACACGATTTAATTTACCGAGTGGATTTGAAAAGCAATTCAAATGCGAGTCAGCCAAGTAATCCAAAAGGCGATAAAAACCCAACTTCCATTGTCTGCAAGGTGTTAAATATTTGTTGTATAATCCGCTACACAAAAAAACAGAGTGTGTTGGGGGTATACAACTTAAAAATCGATTAACATCAGCGTAATTATGGACATAATTTTTCGGTGATCAAGTGTGGCAACAACAAAATACAAAATACCCCTGAATGAAAGCGGTAAATGTCAAGAAATTAGCGCAAATATATATGTTTATATGTTAAAAAAAATATATACATTTTTTGGAATGTGAAAATGTTCAAATAGCAGTGACCAAAAACAACCTTGAACTTGAAATGATTTAGGGACGACTTAAGCATGGTTTAACTTTCACTTTTGAAGACCGGCTTCTGATCTTCTGAAAGGGTTTCCATAGCATATTTGCATTATCTTTTGTTTTCTCGGCGAGAAGGCAAACCAGACATGATGTGTCTTTCGGTTTGGTGCGTGTTGGCCTGTCTGTCTGTCGGTTGGACAAGGTCAACACCTTTCCTTTCCTTTTCGGGTTTTACTGCCGATCGTGTTATATTGGAAATGAGCCAACTTGTGGAGCACTAGCACTCGACTTTAATTGACTAAGTGCAGTGCTAAGAGATATACGATATTGCTCATACGCCCTGCTGGCCGGCACTTGTTAATTAAAATATTTGAAGTAATTATATAAGCAAAGTCTGCTAATTACCAGGCGGTAGAGAGATATTGGCAGCCGACCGACGCCAATCGAATGACAAACGCTGGGCGCCAATGAGATAATCAATCACCCATATAGTCTATCATTCTTCGATCTTTAAGGTATTCGGTTGGTTAGTTAGTATAACGACCACACAGTAACTCTTTGTTCCAACAAAGTAAGTCTGTTATTAAAATATTTTGTATGTGAGGTATATCTTTAAAAAGCCGTAAAGTGAGGCCATTTGAAAAGTTCTTAACGGGTGATTCACACTTGAGTGAAATAAACCAATCGTTAAGTAATGGATACACAAAGGGTTCATGGTGGCAATTTACTTTAAAGTCCATTATCACTTTTTATGGGGTACTAACTTCATTTTTATTAGAATTTAATTATTTTGTATAAAAATACATTTATTTTGGACTTCTTAGAAAACGTATACAAGTAAATTAATAGAAATATAATAAGAATTGTTTTAAAAATTAAATTAAAAATTAAAATTTTCTTTTTGTTTTTTTCGTTTTAAAGAACTTTAGGATTTAACATAATAAAATAAACCGTTTAGTTCTTAGGGTAATTAAGAAAATCAGATAACTGTTATTTTTAATAAAAGCGTTTCATTATTAAATATTTTTTAAGAATTCCGAATTTTCCTAAATTTTTCTGAAAGAGATTACCCTTTGATTTGAAGTTGAAGACTGTTAAGAGTTGAATACCAATTAAAAACCTACGGATATAAATTTAATTAAATGAATGCTTTGGTCCTTGAACTACTATAAAAATCCCAGAGCTGTCAATTCTACCACACAAATTTCGCTTGATTTGTGATAGCCCGATAGTCCATCAAGTGGGTGCCCAGTAAGTCATTTAATTAGCTAATCAATCAGTCATCCAGTCAGTGATTTTGGATCTTGAAAGCCTTCGCATTGTGTGGTGGATCAGTAAATCGGGCAGATATATATTCACAAGCTGATCGCTGATCACAATCAATGGCTGCCGTTGCGCCTTTAATTAATCCAGTTTTAATGGAGTGTCTTGCCTAAATTAGTTTGACATTTAAGCCGCAGAGAGTTTCGCATCAAACGGCCGTTGGTGTCTGATTCCGTGTCGGTTTTTGGTGGATCCAACATCAGCCGGTCATAAATTCGTTGTTCGCGCTCATCATAAATTGCTTTTTAAAGCCAAAAGACCAACGGCAAATGTGAAAAGAGCAGCCTGCGATGCCTTTGGCATTCAAATGACCAGACGACTGACTCTCTGACTTGGCCAAAAACCCCCAGAGACTTGGATTTGGATTCGCATTCGGATTGAGATTGAGGGGCTGGTAACCCAACCAGTTACCACTCGAAGCGGGCGGGTTCCTAATCAGACGTGTTTGATGAACTTGACGTGAAGTTAGCAGTATATCCAAAAAATCACAAAAACACAAAACAAAACCACAAAAATCAAAATTAAACAGAAACGTTCACAGAAGATTCCCAAAAAATAAAAAAAATACAAAACACACACAAAATTACCAAAAAAGCCAGCCAAGTGAATAAAACTAAAAGTTGTTCTCATGCTAATTTAATTTTATACATTTTGCGGCTGTGGCCATTGCTCGCCTTTATTTTATTTTAATTATGTTAATTAAAAACGAGAAAGGAAGGACGGCGGAGGTGGACAATTCGAGACCTAGAATACACTTAAGTTTATCACCCAAGAAATCTGGCATCTGAATGAGCTGACTTTGTGTTATTTGATATCCATTAAAATCAAACCATCTTGAGAACAGGCTTCCTATATAACTTTTGTTTTTATAGAGATAGAATAAATTAGGTTATTTTTGAAGAACTTTCCATTAGGAAATTGTATAATATTTCATGTCTATCAAGCTTAAGACTGAAGGAGATCTTAATAATCTTTTACTGGTAAAATGTATTAACTTATAATAAATAAATATATATATATATATAAATAATTACAAAATGTAAATATTATATATAAATCTTAAAAAATCATTTTAATCATTAATCCTGAAAAGAATTTATATTATTGTTTCTCAAATGTCCAAAAAAACTTTAGAAACTTATTTTATTATTTATTTATTATTATTTTAGTTTTAAAAATATGTTATATTGAACCGAAATACCTTTAGAAAGGGTATTTGAAAAGGTGATAAAAAGAGAGCCTTTATCCAGAACTATTAGCTGAATGCGTCAGTTGGTCAAAAGATTAAACTGGTTAATTAGTATTCGCCCATTTGCCTAGCCGTGAACTTAGCGATGAGGAGCCTGAATTTTGAATGGGCCATAATACTCATACTGATATTCAACTCAAATCTCGAATCTCTGGAGATTCTCTGTGCGAGACAAAGTGGAACCAGTTGGCACCACCGAATCTCCACCGAAAACCACCGAGTATACACCACACTTTAACGGAGTCTGCGCTCAAGTAAACACAGAAAACCTACCTCAATGGCCAACTCTTTTGGCCATTGCGAATGCAGCGGCGGATGTATCTCTGAGATACTGAGACACAAGTGCGCTCCGTTCGAGAGCGATTCATTCGATCCATTGAGATCCGTTGCGATCCGCGTATAAAACCAATTTGAGCGGCGGCCAGCGAACCAGTTGAGCGCTGACTTTGCAAACGTTTTCACGTCTCCAGGCCAACATATAAAAAATTAACCAAAAACTAAAAAAACCCACCGTAAGCTAACGAGGCCAACACAAATGCATTGGCCAAAAAACGACACGGCAAACAAGTAAAGACAAAATAATAATACCAAACGAAGAAACACTTTTCATTTCGCGCCTGTCTTTGCTTGACTTTGCTTTTGTCTTTGCTTGGCTTTGCTTTTTGGCCTGGCTCTTGTTTTTTTTCGCCGACCAAGTCAAGTGTTTGGGCCAAGTCTTTGGGCCGCTTTTATTCGTTCAACGGGCGCTCGAGCGAACGGTTGTTGCTTTGTTGTCTTTTTCCCACTTTTTGGCTTTGTATCTTTGCATCCGACGGATACGCGATTCGATTCGAGCCGTGCCGCGATTTTCTGTGTGTGTGCGTGTGAAGAAAGAGCTATATTTATATATATATAGATAGATATATATATATATATTTCGATATATAAAAAAGAAATATATATTTTGTTTGCAATCCGCCATCGTAATAGCAATAGTTTTTCCAGTGTTTATTACATAAAATATCAAAGCAAAAATATTTATAAAGCGTTTGCCCAGCGAGAAAATCTTATGCAAATGCGTTTTCAAAAATAATTAAGCGCCAGCCTCGAAGATTTGGCAAGAAAGTCGTTTGCAGTGCCTCAGTGACTTGGGATTTCTTTGGATTTAATTTGGATTTCTTTGGATATACTTACTACTTACCCCCCCGTTGGAAGTGCAACCTCTAAATCAAGGTAGGCCCTCGGCAAACTGCAGTTTATATAATGCGTGTGTGTGTTTGTGCTCCAAATTCAAACTTACATAACGATCTTCGAGCCACGCATGATACATAATGATGTATCGCTATCGGCGCCATTAGCATAATTCAATGCCTACCCGAAACAAAAACATCGAAAATCAAAATCTGTCACAAATCGGAGCAATTTGCGTAAGCGGCAATCATTAGGAGGTGTTCGAGTGGATTTTGTTTGTAGCTTGGCTTAATAGTTTAAACTTTGCCATTCAAAAAAATAGAAAAAAAAATAATGATGCTGGCGACCAGACATCTCACATGTGCCACATGAATATGCAAAAGAACAAGTAAACAACTTGCCCAGCGGTGAGCCCACCTGTCATCCGATCAAAGTTTATATGGCAGGGAAAAATGTAGTTAAAAATAGGTATTTCAAAAAGATTTTTTAATATTTTGGGTTTTAACAAATGTAGATAAAATGTGAAAAAATACACTATTTATGCTATTTATTAAGGAAGCTTAATTTCAAGAACCAATTAAAAATCAAAAACTTTTTTAAAATTTTTTTAAACTCTTTGACCACCTAAAATGGAATGACAAAAAACCCAAAATTATGTTTCAAATGAATATGTGTTAAAATCATAAATCAGCATAAAACTAGTCACATACATTTATGAATAAGCTTTGTTTTATTCATGAAATTATTTAACACAAAAATGAAAAATGGTAATAAATTATCGCTGTCATTAATATTAATTATATATTAGAATTTATTCTTGCGTGTCACAACAATCTTGATCAATAAATAAAATAAACTAAAGACTAAAGTAATGATTTATCTTCAAGCTGGAAAATAAAAGTGAAGATAAAGGATTTTAGTTAACAATTTTGCTACAAGTTTTATTAAAACTGAATAAGGATAACTGAAAAAAAATTTCTATAGCCAAACTGAGAAGACTTACCAGTATTTTAAACTAATTGGCATGCTCATCCATATCTTAACTATTTTTAGGCTAATTGGCATGCTAACCAATATTTTAGGTGATTTTATTAAACCATTTTGGGCGATTTGATAGTTTGACCTTATGGCTAAAACAAACTTGTTTGTTCGATAACACTTATTAGTATTAATTTTATGCAAAGTTCCATTTTTATAATTTCAGAGTATTTTTTTTCAATTAGCAAGTTCTGTTTCGCATAGCTGGTTTCAGTTTGCATTTATTTATTTACTTCATTTTTGCGGTTAGTGGTTAGTGCTAGTATGCGATCCCTAAAAGCCCCCTGCGATAGGTGTAGGAATGTACATATAAATTCTTCGGTAAATTGTATAAAAACAATCCACTGGAGTCACTTGCATTTTCTGTTCATAGCCAAGACGAAGCCAAAAGCTGCCATGCAATCGATGACTTGGACAAAAATAACTTGTTGCTTGCGATTGTTGTTGGTGGCGCAGGTTAAATGCAACAGCCACAGCAGCTGAGAGTGGATTGAGATTGAGAGTCACAGCAGCCACCCGCTTGTTTTACACTTGGAAAAAACATTCCTAAAATTTTATACCACCTAAAGAATCTATAAAACAAATTTGGGTTTGTTAGAATTTAGTTCTATCATTACAACTATCAGAGCTTGAAAACAATTCCAAATATTTGGTTTATTAAATATCTTTTGATAGAAAAACTTTGATTTTTCTGAAAAATGTTTTTTTTTTTTAATTTTTATAATATATTTTTTTTAATTCTATTTTATTTGAGAAATATATTATTTGTATTATATTGTTATATTGTTATATTTCAGAAAACACTTCCCAAAATTGTGTTTATCTGAAAGGTTTATAACAATCTTGGAATTAGTTTTTATTAAAATATCTATTTATGTTTCAATGCCCAAAACTTTTAAGATTTTTTAAAAGTTAATATTTTTTTTGGAACATTTGGATATTGAAAAAGGTAAGGAACGTATTTTTGAGTGCAGCATTCTTGGAAAATCTCTTCGTTTTTTTTGCCGAGTATCTGTGTTTGCGATGGCGGGTGTATTTTTTTCTTTGCTTACTTTTTCTGCGAATATATATACGTGTGTGCATCTCTGCGTTCAATTGCACATCAGCTTACAAAGTATCCGTACCCGCAGCACCCGTAATTTATTTGCATTGTTTAGCTCTGTAGCGTTTTTCTTGTGTGGCTGCAATGATACTTAAAGTGCACAAAAAAAAGCGGCGATTTACATAAAATTTATTGCTGCCACATTACAAGTTAGTTAGTTAATGTTGCCCGCTGGCTGAATGGCTGAAATGGCTGCTGTTTAATTGTGTGAAAAGTGTTTACTGCAACGTGTGGATTCGGTTGCGGATTTGCCCAAGTGCCGGCACATCACGTATACGACACGTGGCGAGCCTTGAACTCGACCAAAAGGGTTTCGTTTTGTCTCGTCTCGTTTTGCTTCAACCGGTTCGGATTACATTCGATTCGATTTGCAATTGAGTAATCAAACCAGAATCGATTTGGCCACATCCACATACCGTACCAATCACCAATCGCGATCAAATGCCAAGTGAAGTTGTTTCGAGAACACAGAGACAGATCCACATTTTGGCTGACAACAAATGTTATATATAATCGCACAAATAAATTATTCAATTTATGTTAACTAATTCATTTAAATTATGGATTTACCGTTTGCGTCACAGCACTTTTATGGTTGTCGCGGAAAGATTTTCGAGTGTGCGATCATAAATTTGGTGCTAAAATGTGCAGAGTATTAGGGAACTTGTTATACAGCCATCAAACATGAAAATAAAATATTGGGCTGTCTTTGAAAGATAAATCTTAGAGACATGCTGACTTTTAACGACTTTTGATAACCATTAAAAAATTAATTCTAGATCATAGTGCTTGGCAAATACTTCCGATATTTTAATACCATGAAACAGTGGTTGGTCAGGAAACTGCAATATATTTACTTCTAATTTGTATTGCCACAAAATTGTAAGATTACTGAATAATCTAGCAACTTGCTTTTTTTCCTAGCTTATAAATATTTTTAAATGAATGGCCCTTAAAATATTGAAAGCTCTTACACCATAATATTTTTGTAGAATTAACATTTAAAACAACTTTTTATTTTTGCGGGAATTTCTTAAAAAATCTTCCACATTCTTACAACTTAAAATTCTTTTTGAATTACCATTTAAAACCACTGTTTTATTTCCTAGAAAGGTTTAAGCCTCTTAATAATTTGTTTCCTTGCTAAATTATAAAACAAGTTAGTGACTAATATTAAAATGAATTAACCCACAAAAAGCCCCAAGAATCATTGGAAGGCCTGAAAAGTTCCCCCTGTCGACGAACAAATATTGATCTCAATATGGCACCTTTTTCTTGCAGAAAAGTTAGCCAACAAGTCCGACAAGTTTAAGGCTTAAGATTTAATACAAGATTGCGAAATAGATGTATATAAATAAAAATGCTGTAGCCTTTGTAGCGAAAACTCGGTTTCCGAGGGGGCAACATCAATGAGATGTCTAATGATTTTGATGGTTTTCTATGGTTACTTTTTGGTTTTGTGTATTTGTATCTTTGGGATGCAGGCCTAATCCCCTCATCAAAGGCAGCCAGAGGGCAAATTCGCACTACAAATTGGATGATTTGCGATCTTTGGCTTGTCGAGGGTTGTCAGATCTTTGGAGTTTCGAGTTTGGAGGAAGGGCAACTTCAATGAGATGTTACCGTAGCGAATATCTAAAAATATCAGCTTATACTCTGTCCCGAGATAACTGAAATATTTCATCGGCATCATCAACGATCAACTATTCAACCGGTGATGGTGGTTATGCCCTTGTAACGATTGTTTATTTCTGGCGGAGCACAAATGCTGATATGTTAATGACGGATGGGATCCGAAAAGGTATAATACTTGCTGGTCAAATCAAACACATATGTACAATCGGTAGCCGATCGGTCTTTTCTTTTGTGGCAGCTGCTGATGGCATTTAAATCACTGAATTGGCATTGTGTGATCGATCAATGCTTCTTGGCTTCTTCTTGAGTATCTTGGGTATCTTGCCGCATTTAATGGAATTTTAATTAATTATTAGTTTCGTGCGACCTTTTAAGGCTTTCCAGTTCCCCAGCCTCCTCCATTTCCTGAACGCATATTTTTTGGGTTAACAATGGGTATTATTATTAAAATGCTATTCATCGATTGGCGTTGCCAAGGAAGGTTTTTTAGATTATACCATAAATCAATGTTCTTCTCAAGCTACTGTGTGTTTGTGAGGTGACAACCTGAACCATTCATTACTTATCTTTGCCATTTAATTGGTTTTATTTTTCACAAGTAGAGGTAACCAATTTCCATTAAAATATGGTTATATAAACAAGAAATTAAAAGGCAATAATTAATTGGCTTATATTTTCCCACTGCCAAACAAGTTGTCACTGGACTTTCTTTAAACTTGAGCTTTGAAAATTAATTTCCTCTCCTCGACAAGCGGCATTTCCCCCTTTATTGATCTATAAATCCATTATTTATCGACGCCAACGGTTTCCTTAAACTATTAGGTTCGAGTAAATCGAAAAATAAGCCATCAAAATATGGTCATAAGCTGTCAAGCGCTTTATTGCTTAACTTAATTATTATGTCGGACCGATATCAATTGGATTTAAATGTAATATGTTTTGGGTAGCATAGTAATTGCATCATTAGTGATGCCACTCGGTATCAGCTTGGAAAATTTGACAAATAATAATGATTTATTTAGGTAAAATGTTTTAAGTTTAGTTTTTAAGTCTTTAATGAACTATTGAAATTTGTAGATTTTTTAAAGATATTTTGAAGGTTAACACCAGAATTTTTCATTAGTGAATATTCGAAATGTTAAATGTTTCATGTTTTGAATTACTTTAATCTAAATATTTTCGCAACCATCTGTTGTTATTTTGTGAATAAATTGTATATTGATTTTATACTTTTTAATTTAACCATTTGGCTTGCCGTGTTTATATAATTTTCAATATCCAATGTTTAAATTTTTAAATATTTTAAACACTTTGTTAGGGTCTATAATTTGCTAAAATTTTGACTTCATCTTTTTTTAAATACATGCTAAAAGCTCCTGAGGCTTAAATTTAGCTGTATATTTATTTTAATATTAATATGGATTTTATTTTGTGTAAATATGAATAAATTTTTGGGTTTTTACTCTTCGATTTTGCCTTTAATTTGTCTGATAATTTCTCTATCATCGTTTTCAAACACGTTAGTGACTTCGTTGGTGTCTATAATTTGCTTAAATTTTGTTTTTAACAATTTATGTTAAATTTGTGGGCTTTGGTGTAGCTGTATCGTTTTAAATTTGCTTTGATCGCTTCGTTTTAGTACAAGTCCGAGTTTGAGCCGGTTTATTTTTTTTCACCGAGCTGAGCGATCAACTTTTTAGTTTTTTTTCTTAGTTGTTGATTTGCTGCTGGATGGATAATATATGTGTGTATGTTTGTGTTTTTAGCGATATTGATTTTTCGCATTAAGCGCATTTCTGCGTACCGAATTTTCAAGGCCAATAATCGTCGTTGTTTTGGGGGGAGGAAGTGGGAGGGGATTCAGGGGACTTTTGCCGGTAAAGCGGGTTTTTCATTTGGATTGAGCGTCGCAATTAAACGGCATCCATTTATCGTTGTCATTTCTTTTTCGCTGCCATTTCGCCTGTGCTTTTCCGAATCCCGAATAAACACAGAAATATGTGTGCAAAAGTCCAAGTTTGAAGTGTCAACGCTGTCGGCCTAATCAATTTGGCTAACCGCTACTTGGGAGTCGGATGAGATGAGATGATTAGGCCATGTTTGCCGCCCGGTTATGTAAGTGTTAGCCATCTAACCGAGAGATTTGAGACTGAAGACTGGAGATTCGAGATCCGATCCGGCGGGGCGGTGGCAATAAGCCATCTCAGGTGTCGTCATCGCCGGGTTTCAACATATTTCTGCCGCTTTTTATATTTTTCCACCCATTGTTGCTGCTGCTGAGCGGCAGTTCCGCCAATTAGCGACGCTTCCGCTGCTGCACACACACAGCATACACATACGTCAAATAATTTTCTCGGCTTTTCCTTTTTCCACTTTTCTCGCCTTCATTCATTTTACTTTGTTGCACATGCTAGAGTAGACAAAAATCGCAAATAAGTTTTAAATTACCTCCCCGGTCTTGTTAACTTTTTTTTTGGCAACTAATTGTTTAATAAACATCGATAAATATGTTTTGCTAATCAGGACAGGTTCAAAAATTTAATACAAAGTTGAAGTTGTTTTTTAGTCAACATAAAGAAAATAAGAACTTTAATAAAAATAATTTTCTAACAAATTTTTCTATGAAACATTTTTTTTTTTTTAAATGACTTAAAGAGTTTATTATGTTGATCAGCCAATTTTATTTTTATTATTTATTAAATTGATTTTCTATCCAATACTTAAAACTATTTTGCTGCTCAATCATTCCGAAACAATCAAAATAAATAAATACATTCAAGGGCATTACTTTCTTTTCTTTTTTTTACCATTGTTTCATCATAAAACAATTTAATTTGAAAAATTTGCATACATTTCCAGAGCCAAAAGCCCATAAAACATTGCGCCTTCGGTTACGCGTCAGAAATTAACAAATTAGTGCGATGTTTCGCAAGGCAACGCCAACAAACTTCCGAATTAGCCGCAATCCCAATCAACACAGCTCAAACTTAGCCACAAAGCCCCAACGAAACCAACATACATAAAATGTAAAATTAGACTTTCAAAATGTGTTTTCAAAATTAATGCCGCACATGCTCGTGGCATGCAGATGGCCCAAAGTTGCAGTTGCAAACTTAGGAATTTGTTGGCCAGCAGAATCCGGCCAAAGAGTTAAGAGCTAACCAGCCACAGCCAATTGATGGACCATGCCAGCTGGGCTCTCTAGAGCTTACAGTCTAGCATCTATAGTCTTTGGCCGCTTCTCACGCTTGTCAGAAAATGTCAAAAGTGAGGATGCCATGAATATTGGGGGGATGCCCAGAGTGAGGCATCTTCTTTTAGCCAGTCAGCAACGAAGATCGAATGCCCTTGGTATTCATTAATATTTCTTAATGATATCAGCAGAATTAGTCACTTAATAAGTAAATGGAAAATACCACTCAGTTTTGAAAATCCTTGTACTTTTCAGAGGAGTTTTTAAAAGTCCCAAATAGTTTTAAAACATAATGATATTGCATTTAAAACTTTACCAATTTTTAAGGTTTTTATTTAATAAATTTAATTTAATTTTTCCAATCATACTTCATACATTTTTCAATAGATTCATTTTTTAAAATGAAAAAACTTTGTTTTGTTTTATAAAGAAAAATATAACTTTTAATTTATTTTAATCCATAAATAAGTATCTAATTACTTAGCGCCCCGAAACGAAGTTGTGTGAAATCCGTTAAAATCAATTACGTTTTGGCTGAAAGCCTCTTAAGGATTTGTAGGCGTCAGTTGAAGCTGCTTGAGTGTTTTCCCATTAGCCAGAAACTTCGACTCGAAATATGCTCAAGACCTCTTTTGCGGAAATAGTCGAATGAGTTTCAAGAGGGGTTTATTTTAGAGAGATTTATGGGGAATTTGGAGAGGGGACTTTTGAGCGGGGCTTTGACCAATTGTCACAGGCGCCATCGGAATAGCCATGGTCATTGAAAAAGAGAGACAAGCTGACCAAATGGACAGGGTTCAAGACAGCTGGATGGCTGCTGTGTCATCTTGCAGGCGCATCTTTGTTCGGCGTGCCTCATCTTCAACCTCATCCCGAAAAACCCCATGAAATTTTTACCAGTTTTGCGTGAAGATGGCTTTTTTTTTTGCCTGGCTCGCCTGGCAAACTGGCACTGATGACCTTTTACGTCGCCTAAAGACTGCCTTCACTTCATCACGGACTCGACTTTAGAGAGATGGCAACTACTAAAAATTTGCATATCATTCATTCGGCAGATTCCCTTACTCCTGGCGCCCAGAAAATTAGTTGCGAGGGAGGCCGAGATAAAAACAATTTACGATTATTTCGTCTGGAAGTCTTGGATCTTCGTGGCCTTTCTGGCCCATCGACATCGTCCACGCATCCGGCGGCCATAAATTGCGATAAAATGTCAAGGATTTACAAGGCGGCCCCAAAGTGAAAGACTAACCAAGATTAACCAAGGGAATCGACGCCAGTCCCGTTGACAATTTAATTGAGCCTACAAGGTCGTAAACGGCCTTCTTTCACTCGCTGCTAAATCGGGGAGAAAAACAATCAGCAATAAAAATTCCAAAATAAATCATTCAATTCGCCAGAAAATGCTAAAAAAGCAAACGTGTTTTTGCATAAATATTTTATGTGTATTCTTTTCGCTGATTGGTTTTGCCATTGAGTGATTGTCTTTTAATGGCGTTTAAAGCATTTCAAATGCCCTCCTCTGTTAATTTGACAACGCATGATTGATGTGAAATACAGGTATTATTATTACTATGTGATATATGTTTTCAATTTCATGGAAGTTATAGAAAAGAATACTGAATGGCAGCAAAGTGGGTCAGTGATTGTCGGCATATCCTGTTGGCCCAGACAATGTGTGGGGGTTACTTATGAATTTTTGGAGTGGTTTCTTTTATATTTTTTTGAGCTCTTGTCGAAGAAAATCAATTAGCGGAGATGGGTGCTATGAAACATCCGGCTGACGGCGGCGATGAGTCAAGCCAAAATCTTAAGTCGGCGTGGGTTTGGCATGTAAATTGCGTCTAAGCCTCGTCTGGTTGGTTTTGTAATGAGCCGAATGAGCCCACTTCAACCTGTTGTCGAAGGAAGGAAAATATATTGCTATGTTTGGCATTTGGTTGAAGGAATTTCATCATTATGCTGGTCTTAATGTATTTTTGTAGAGTGATTTAAACACCTTGTTCTTTTTTCTAATTACTTTTTTAATTTCCATTAGGGGGTGTTAACGAAATAATAGTAGCTTAAGTGATAGCTATTTATTTGAGTTTTATTACATGTTTTGCCTTCAAGTTTCCATTTTCAAGACAATTTCTTATTTGCTGTCTATTTAAAAAACATTATATTTATGTATGCATTTAAAGTGTACAAATTGATGTATGTATAAAAAAAGGATTATTTAAATAAGGCGTGTTTTATTTTCCAAATATATAAAACACATGTGAAAAAGTTTATTCTTCTAAAAGAAAATACAATTTCTGATGTTTATCGTATTTATCCCATGGCTATTAATTAAAATATTTGCAAGTATAATGAATTTTTCTTAAACTATTCTTAGCTTTTAAAAAAATCCATCAGTGAGATCTTAAGACATAAACAAAATACGATAATAAGTCTTTAAAATATATTAAAAAATATTTTATTATTCTTAGTCATTAAACATTCAGTGGGATCTTAACAAATAAATTTAATACAATAGTAAATCTTTAATAAATATTAACAAATATTATTATTATATTTAAAATCCAACCTTCCCCAAATATATTTATTTTTCTACCCTCTTGAATAATACAAAATACCCAAATTAGCCGTTTGTAGTTCACTTCCATTCCTGACCAATTTTGTTTTCTTTTTTTTCCATCTCGCTCCCCCGTTTTAGCCATGTGCCGGCCATAAACCGAAGACACGCTTCCTAATTGAAAATAGAGCCAGCTAAATGGACGCGTAGCAAAAGGCCAACAGAGCGAGCGAGAGGGCGAGTGTGTGCGACAGAGAGAGCGAGTGAGACGATCGTGATTTGGATTTTCAGCGTGATATCAAAACGGAGCGGACAGCAGCTGAAGCGGACAAGAAAAACAAAATTCACGCCAAAATGTCCAACGCCACAAAAATGGTTTACAGTTATAGAATTTTATGGCTTTCCGGCGTTTTACTAGGTGAGTAGTGGCCTCAATAAAGACTTCAATTTCAACTCGACTTCGAGTTGAGACGGAGACACAAATTAAATGCTAAGTGCGTCGATTAAGCCAGTCGCCGTCAGTCGGTTAACCGACTGTCATCGCACTTTGTTTTGGCCCACTCGCAGTGTTTGGGCCATGCGTGAGCCAAATAACTTAAGAAATTGGCCATGGTCAAGTGTGGGAGGAAGGAGGAAGCAGCGAAAAAGGCAATACACCTGGCCAACTCGCGGAATTGCAGGTGCAAAACAATTGGCCAAATGTGCTATTTTTGGTTCGAAAAGACAAGTAGTTATTGGCTAATGAGCGGGAATTTGGCTTTACAAAAGGGAAGGCTTAATACCAATAAATTCTATAGCCCATGGGTATGGCAACATTATTTGTGAAAATTTGAATTTTAAAATTTAAATAAACAAGAAATTATGATTAATCATAGAAAGAAAGCAACTGAAATTAAAATGTACCAAGGTAATACTATTGCTTTTAAAATCTAAGGCTAAACTTATTAAGTATTATTGTTAAAAGGTTTACAAATAAATTAAGTGAATGGTTTTAAATTTGAGCACGATTATTAAGAAATGATTATTCCTTTCAAAACTTTGCTAAACTGCAGAATTTAAAAATAAATAAAGAGGGGTCTTATGTTATATATATTTATCTTAGAAATAATCTTAAGTAAAACAGCTTTAAGTTGTAAGATAGCGGGTCGTTTTAGTGTAAAGTTTTAATATTAAACCGTATAAATTTTGTGTAGGACATTCTATAAAAATTAAATTAAACATTTCCCCCATTTTTAGGTCCCATTTTGCTGGCCGCCATCGCGGTTCAAGGTCAAGAGCCAGCCAGTCCAGTATTTCAAAATCACAAGACGAAGGAATGGACGAATTTAGATAACATAACGTTCTCATTCGATTGCAAGAGGCGTTCGGTGGGCTTTTATGCCGACATGGAGTACAATTGCCAGGTGAGAAAACCAGAAGAGAGAGAGGGAGTTTAAATTACAGAGCTTAAGTCGAGCTTTGAAAGAGGTTTTCCAAATGCCTGAAAGTATACCATATTTATTTACCACTTATTTTCAAACCAACAGATCTTTCACATGTGCGATGAGGAGGGCAATCGAATTCCCCATCTGTGCGCCAATGAGACGAGCTTTAACCAGGAGTACAGAATCTGTGATTGGGACTACAACTTCAACTGCACAGAGTCACCTGTAGGTTTTATTTGCTACCCTGTAATACAACAGATACTTATTGTTTTTTTTAACCCCCAGAAATGGTTCTACCTGAACGAACTGACCTATGCCACAGATCCGCCAGATGAAGACGATGAGGATTACTAAACGATTTGCAATTAATTAAATATTTATTGTCTCTCCAAAACGCAAAACAAACTAATTAAATTAAACACCATATGAGAAAAAAAGCGCCGAGTAATTGTAACTGAAAAAGCAAGAAAGAAAAAAGTGTGAAAATCATGTGTAAAATTCCATGCAAATGAGATAAACTAATTTAAGCGCCTTGTTGACGATTTTGTTGAGTTTCGTTTTGTATGTTGTACTTTTGTATTGTAGTCTAATTGATCGAGTCGCGAGTGCAAGATGAGGAGTCGTGTTGTATGTGTATATAATGTATATAGAGATGGTCCCCAGTTCCATTTCCATTCCAATTTCAAAACCATTCCATAAATTTCCATTCGAAATTCACGGAAAAGCCTCGAATGGGTCCGCCACATTATTGTATAATTTACAAATAATCTTCGTATTTGTAAGCAATCTTAAACCGAAATAAAAACAAAATCAAATTGCTACTCTAATGCTTGTCTAATTAATTGACTAAACAAAATGTTTTCACAATTTTCGGTAATTTTCGTTTAATTTGTATTTCGTTTAATCTATTTGTTGTTGTTGCACACGTCACGGGAATCCACCGATCCCCATATATGGAAAAATAAACACATACCTCTGGGTAAACAACCCCCTAGAATATTGGTTGCTGGCACCTAACGTAACCCGGATGAGTCAAGTTCAATGGCGAAATGTTGTGGGCCAAAAAAAAGGGGTATTTAATTGCGAAAATTGGCATCCGTCAGCGGGCCGGAAAATTGTCCCCTCTCCAGTCACATTTTTATAAATTGGAAATGCCCGAGCTCAGAATCAGTCAGTTTGCTAACGAGTCTCCATCAAAATGTCACACGCGACCAGCTGTTTGTCTTTGCTCCTTATTGCAATCCTGCTAGGGGTGAGTTCTAAATAAAACATAATAAAATATCTATAATATAATATTTATATATTTTGTATAGCTTGGATCTGCCCAGTACTATACCCAATATAATCCCTACTACACGCCCAGTCCCACGTTCTCCAGCTTAAACAACTATTACTATCAGACGACGCCGTATCCTTATTACTACAGCACGTATACGACACCGAGTCCCTATAGCAACACACAGATTCGTATCTGGCCCTATGTCATCGGACAGTATCTGTATCCCACCTACTACAACACCAACTATTACAATCCTTATGCCTCTTTGAGTAACGCCAATTGGCAACGGTATTATGCAAATGTTTATGGAACGAATTCTAACTCGTATAATTATGGAAAAAAGTAATTTCTAGTTTACACTAAGTGTTTTTTCATTTGTTAAGATGTTTAGCCAATACAAATAAAATATTTATTTTGATACATAACAATGACTTGAAAAATATTTATATCATTTGTGGTTTATCTTTGTTTACTAATTTTCAGTAAAACTAACTGGAGATTTGTGTAACAACCAGCAGTTTAATGGCACTACAATTAGGAAATTAAAATTATAAATATAATTGGATAGAAAAAATGATCTTGATTCTACGAGAAAATGAAAGGTTGTCTGTGTGATTTGGTAAAAATTTCACTCCACTCCTGAAATATTACCTAGGTATTATATTATTATTCATTCCATAAAAACTGTCTCGTAAATTACAAAGTCAATTGGTCTCTTAAGATAAACAAATGGTGAGAAATGTCCAGGCCCGAATGACTTAAATCAAAAAAAATCTTTATTTACAAAAATTAGCTTGTAAAAGGGAAATCAGAGACGTAATTGGATCGCTTAAGATAGCTAATTGCTACGAAAGAATGAAAGGTGTCTGGGAAACACGAGTCCCTCATAAAAATGCAAATGTTGTGACCAAAACAATATTGATAATCCAGAATATGGAGCTGGCTAAAAACACAAAGGTGTGAGAACCGTTAGGATTACGACGGCTTTTTGAATGGAACTTTTTGATATAATATTTCTGGGTTCTCTTCGTCTAAATGGAGTTTCGTTGACACTGTCATAGAGCCAACCTACAACCCACCGAGTCGGAAAACCTGAACCCCACTGAACCCGAACCTGAACCTGAACCCAAGTTGGTGTACTTAACGGTTTTCACACACAATCGCTAGTTCCAGTTGGCCACCATTATGTAATGATTTGGACAAACCTTTGGATTATACTGCAACAGAGCCCAGAGCAATGAACCTGCATTGTTTTATGTAAGCGATATGTGGCAACTCCAACTCGATTTGATGTAATGCTAATAAAGTGTAAGATCATAAAATCCGAACACCTGTTTATAAGATCCGTCTTTAAAGCGTTTCTGGAGCAAGAGATTCCAAGAGAATGTTCTGGATAACTGTAACTTCCTCACGGAACTGTGACAATTATTAGCCACAAATCAAAACATTTCGATAAGAAAGGGTTCATAAGCTCAATATAGAACTTTAACCCAATGCGACATTATCATGCAAATCATGTTTGAGACAGATGATCTTCGGGGAATGTGAATGGTTGAGGTGCGTAAAAGAAAGAGAGGCCCCGAGCTGAGCAGAAAGAGAGAGAGAGAAACTGCGTAGTGGGGAAATGGGTCAAGACAATCGAATCACGAAAGGCGGCTCAAAGCGACGGATGGCTTGTAAAAGGTAGCCGGCAAAAATGTTTGGCATCGGATTTGGTTTATTTTATTTTACCATGCAGGCGAAACACGAAACGAGAAAGCCACAAAACCCATTTATCTCTCAAGGCCTCGCAATGCTCTTTTGGGAAAATTGTTAAATTTATTTTGTATTACCAATTAGTTAATTAGAAAAAGTGCAACTCACTTTTTGATGGTAGCAATTGCAGCAGAACGTAAAAGCTGTTGATGAGTCCACTTTTCTCCACTTTTTTTCTCCACTTTAACTAAATGCATTTTTGGCTTACGAGGTAATTATACCAAAAATGGTTGCGAGTGAATTATATTCTGACCTATAAAAATTTAATGAAATTAAATATTTTTTTATTTACGAAACTTTAAAAATATATTTGTAATAATTATAATAATAATAATTAAAATATTTTTTAAATATTTTTAAAAATGTTAAAATAATAAAAACAGTGAAATATTATTTTCCTTTTTAATACATGTTTACCTCTTTCACTTTTTAATTTAAATCTCTGTTTTTTAGCAATGCTTTTTTAAATTGTATGCAATTATTCCTAGATTTTACGAGATTATCAACATGACTAAAGAATTTAAAAAAAATGTGTTTATCCCACCTAATGACTAGAAGTATTTGAAAATGTATAAAGGCATTGGGCGCATTCTGTGACGTCAGTTGTGCCTCTTGTCACGTTCGCAAACCATTTTCATGCTCTTAGTCATTGCACGACAATTCGTAATAAAGGCAACCGATACAGGAAGCTTCAAAAGTAAGAGAGGTATACTACAGATAGAGATAACGCCGAGATGGAGACATTGACTTTGCAGTTTTTTTTTGGGCGCTGCTGCCGTTTAGGGGAAATTGTGAAGTGAAGAAAGTGTTGAAAACGAAATTGTAACTGGGAGAGCGTGTGTCTCTGGCTTTTTGTGAGAGTGGTGCTGCTTGGTAGCCAAGCAAACACGGCGAAGAAGCGCCGACTTGGCCAAGACTGGTCCGCATCTACATCAACCGAAAACCCAAAGTCCGAGCAGCGAAGTCGACTGAGGCAGCGGCGGTGGATCTTACCTGGTGGCCGAGGCCAACTCCGATTGCCAGTCAACGGGCACATCTCAAGCGTTGCAGTCGCTTTCCATGCGAACTCGATTTTCAAAGCCATCTGCACTCCTTTCCTAACTTCCAAACTCAACTCAACTCAAGTCTCGTGGTTGTATTTATTTTTTGGCCAACATCTGCGTGTCTGCCACAGATTCGCGTGAAAGTGGTCCAAATCAATCACAAATAACTCGGGATACAGCGAGTGTTGCAATTATCATACACTAATCAAAGAGTCACAGCCTTTATTATGGTGAGTACGAAATTGGATAAGCCCGGTGGCCAAGTTCAATTACCATACAGAAAACAAATTAAGATTCATTGGGAAGATAATTCACTAAGAAAAAACATGTTATGGATCCTTGTATTAAATAGTATGTAATTAGGCCCCACGGTGGGCGCCAAATGTTTATTATTAGGTCAATATAATACAAATCATAACCTAGTTCTTCACGATTGGGAAAAATGTATTTTAAAATCAGGAAAAAGCTAGATTAGATTCAAAATGTAATATGTATTACTCAAATATCTCTTTTGACCTGCAAATTGAAAGTATTATAGTTCTGTTTTTCCGGTGCTTTGTTCATTGAAATTCTGGGCACGCGTCAACTGTCCCAAATCGCTTTTCCTCAATCTCTTTTGAAAAAAAAGGAGCCACAGCCCGCACACAAAAGGTTCAAAAGATGTTGGCCAAAAAGCTAGTGTGACAAATGCTAACAATTCTTGGCACAAAAATCTCTTGTTTGTTTGGCTAGTTCCAAAGCCAAACTTTCTTTTGAGGCGTGTTTTCATTCGGGCCAGTTTTCAATTGTTGGTAAGATCCCCGAGCTGTTATTATCTTGGCTGGCAAACTAACTAACCAAGCTAAATACACATTCACATTTAAGCCACCTGCTCGTGTCATGAACTGCGACATTATATTGACATTAGATAATGGTCGAATGGTTAAATTGGCTAAACTTCAACCACGTGCCACTCAATTGCATCATAGGCCATCTCTTACTAACAACTTTACTAGCTCATACATTTTATTATGACAAGCCCAACGATAAACGTAAAGAAAGTCGTGCATAATTACCCGAGATAAACCTTGGATTTTATGGTTTTATGTGTACGATATGTAGTAAAATCATAAAATACTAGCTGCACCCACGTAAAATGAAAGTTCAAGGAATTTATGGCTACTCTAATTAATATTATGTACGATAAATAAATATTTTATAGGCAAGATTAGCTGAATCAACAAAGCGCTTGTTTAGCACATTTAGGTTTAATTTTGTTAATTTCGGTGTTTTCATTACCGTTGTTAAATAATCCGTGAGCCAGACAGAAACGATTTCAAATTGTCTGTCAAATTATTCAACTAATGTGATAAATGAATAATTATGGGTGTTTTTTTCGAAAAAACTTCCTTAGATCTGTCTGAAATATTAAGCGAATTCCGGATTAAATCTACCAAATCATCAGTTAGTAACCATTTTATGGTTGTTCGGCATCATTTCGTTCGGAACCCAAAGGCGAAATCTTGCCCGGCAGCAAGTGCAAATATTTTCGGTTAATATTTACATATATGCCACATAAAGTCGAATGAAATTTCACCCATAATGTTCGAGAAGATGGCCTGAAAGTAAGTGTGTGTCTTTCGTGAGTCAGATGTGATAACGTTCAAGTTTGATGATGAAACAACCCAGAAGATGTTAATTAAAGGGTTGGGGGATCGATCGCGTTTAAAACAAATACGTAGTGAAACTAAGCCTGAAATACCGAGTTCAGTCTGTCAATCGGGAACTGGAAAATTATGTAAATCAATTAATACATATAAATCGGTATTTAACAATGCATTTCTTCGGCTGTTGCATCACTTGAGGGAAAGACTTTCTTCTTTGTTTTCCCGCATTTTCGGATGCCCACTTGAAATTCAAATCAATTTTCTCGCTCAGTTTAATTTGAATCAAGGCCATGCCAAAATAGATTTCCTTTTACAGTTGGAGCCAAAACAAATTGGGCACAAAGGCATTTGGCCTACTAATAAAAAAGCGAATCATTCACAACAAAGAGGCCTCACAAAGGGCCACCAATAACATTTTATCAAAATAAATCCAAAGCGAACGCAAATTATGTCGAGAATTCTTAGCATCTGTTTTGCAAATTCCTTTTGGCCAGTTAATTAAAACATCTTCAGCGTTTTGACAAATATTCTTTTTTGGGGGAACGAAGCCAACCGTTAGCTCCACATAATTTGTTTACCTTTTGTTCGGGTTTATTGTCTTTGGTTTAGCATAGTTCCATTCCCATGGGCTTGTGGAGAATCTCCCAATTAGGTATAACAATTATATTTATGTTTTTCTGGGGATTCTGCAGGTGTATTGAAAATGGAAAGCGCGTTAGCAATGACTTTCGGTTTTTGGGTATTCTTGGTAAAGATATTTTAGTCAAATATGGGGTTTCGGTAGTTTACATCTAAATTTCACTTAGTGGAAGTGAAGGTAGCTTACTTTTGGTTTCCAAGAAATTCAGTGGGGGCAATAAATACTGAATGAGTTGTAGGTTTAAAAGCCCATAGGCTTAAAGTTTTTAATTATATAGCCGAGTAATAATTTAAATACAAATTTCCCTGAAGATTAATAGAAACCTAAAATATGGTTAATTTTCCGTTAGATAGCTAGAACAAAAGGCAATAGATAGAAAACTTAATATTAAATCATATTACACTTAAGGAAAATATAATACATTTGCGGATCAACTTCAAATAAGCTTGTCTCCAAATACAAAGAACTAAGCCATTGAGGTTATTGGCTAAACGTCTAAACAAAATAACCTGCTTAAATTTCACTTTGTCTCCATCCGGCTACCTCTTTAAGTATATAAATCACTGTTTTATACAATGCGACATATTATTTTTGCAACCTTTTAAATTTACATATAAATTGCCATTGGCGGCCGGCTAAAAGAAATATTTGAAACGCTAAAAAAATGTTGATTATGCAAGAGTCGTCAGGTTCAGTTAAAAAATGGGAAATGCTTTCGCAGCAAGACACCAAGTCATAAAACGTTTTATAGCCCCAGCCGTTTGAGCAGTTCAAAGTGGATTCTAAAGTGCGTTTCACGACACGGCAACAGGTTCGTTTCCTAAGTCTTTTGTTTACGCAATTTCCGCACCTTGCTATGATGAAATGCCTTCTTTTTTTTTTGTATTTCTTGGACAATGAGAGAAACACATACTGATATAATTTCTCTGTTGGTTCCACTTTCAGTTTCTCACAAAGAGTTCAAGTGCGCGGCACTCGTTGCTGTTGCTTCTGTTGGCCTTTTGCTGCCTGAGCAGTGCCTTTGGAGCCAAGATAACGAAGAAGGTTGTTGAGAAGACGTCGGAAAAGCCTGAGGCTGAGGCAGAGGAGTCTGCTGCTGCTGCATCGCCGATTGAGGAGGAAAACGATGATGATGACGAGGAGGAAAATGATGACGACGATGAGGAGGAGGAGGAGGCGGTGGATGCAGCAGACAAAGAAGCTGCCACATCAAGTAACAAGAACCCCAATGCAGTTCAGGCAGCCACCGATCCCACAGATCTCAGTGTCTGGGGCATGGTCCGCACTCTTTGGGGCTGGCTGCGCAGCGATCTGAGTGAAAGCCTATTCGGCGATGACGACAAAGATGACGACGGGAAGCCAGCGTCCGGCAGCTCAGCTGTGGGTGAGTCCCCCGCCAAAAAACAAAAGATTTAAAAAGCAAATATTAACACAAAACGCAGTTTAAGAGGTTTACACAGAAAGAAAATAGATAAAAGCAACTTTGAATATTTGCAAATTAATTGCTTTTATGTTAGAAATATTTGTTATATAATTCGAAGGGATGTATTTTATTTAGAATTTTTTTCTATATTAAATAGTTAAATTTTTGTATCTAAATTTTTAGTCAAAACTAAATCAAGGTTTTATATTAGTTTTTTAGGATTTCCAACATTTTTAATTGCATAAATATAAAACAAACAAGTTCATAAGCAATTGTTACATTTTAAAGTTATATACACTTTACAATTTACATGTTATATATCTTTTATTATAGCTTGCCCAATTTCTATCATAAATCTTTTTAGGTTAATAACTTTTAATATCACAAAAATTACATCACAATTTTACAGCTAAACAACACTTACATTTTCTATGACATAATTGAAATGTCAATTTCACATAAACCGTTACTACTTGTAAATGAGATTAACATCCCTATTTTCTCTTTGTGTACACCGCAATTAGTGTGGTCATTTGAAATCAGCTCAGTGCGTGTCTCATTTAGGCTGATTGCATCTGCCCCTCAAATGATTAGCGGCTTTTCTTATCGAAGCCGATTTCCCAGCGCCCTTGCTCACTTGGCTCACTTTCGTTTTCAATGAAACCTGAAGCGGCTAAACAAACAGCAAAAAGCCGCTAAGAGGTGTTAACACCAAAGAGCTGAGAAAAAATCATATATATATGTAGTTTGTATGGAGATGCCGGACGACGATTGTAATTTCACTTTCCGCATCTTTTCTAGAGCCGCTCAAATTATTTATTAAATAAGACAGCAAAAAAAAAGCGGCTGGCTCATCTCCAAAACGATGAGAAAATATTTTTGCTTGTTTTTTTTTGTTTTTTATCGTTGTTTGCGAATTGTTTTTTATTGGACTTTCGCATAGCTGAGCGTTCAGCTCTGTTTATTGATGAAATTATAGCAGTTGAGGGAGATAAACCCAGTGGAATTTCATTTGGGAAGTGGAGATTTTTATGAACTCACCTTAATGTTTTCTAAAGATTTGGCAGTTAATTAAGTGATTTTATCTTAAGGCCTTACATATTTGCAGAAATTGTTTGGCTTTAAATAAATATTCTTAAAATTTCAATGACTTCCTTCAATAAAACTTATTGTCATTCTAGAAAATATTTTACACATTTTAAAGTTTCAAAGAAAGTTAGGAACTTTTTTTTATATTTTGTATTATCTGTTTTTTATATGCAAGTTTCTCTGAAAATTTTGTGAGAACCTGAGAACTTATTTTAAACAATTTTTCTTATGTTGGAACTATTTCTTATTACTAAAATTTATTTTTCTTTCAGAGGGTCGTACCTTCGGCAAAATCCGTCGCCTGCAGATGGCCTTAATCCCGATCATCTTCAAGTTTGGAGTTCTTTCGGCAATGGTGGCCTTCCTTGTTGCCATTGGCATGAAATCCCTCTTCCTGCTCAAGGTTCTGGTGGTAATGAATTTCATTGCCATTCTGGGCAAGTTCATTACCCTGAAGTCGAGCCTCTTCGGACAGTATGAGAACACGGCGCCTTCGTTCAATTACCCCGGCTGGAATCCTCATGCCAAGGAGTCGTGGGGCGCCACTGGCTTCAGTGGACAAACTGGACATGGAGGATCACATGGTGGACCACCCAGCAAGGAGATCCACCTGCACATTCACGGAAATGCCCAGACTCAGGCTCAGCTGGCGGGTCAGGGCTATCAGTATGAATCGCAGTCAGGCGGATGGGCCAGTCGATCGGATCCCTATGGAGCCTATGCACCCACGGGTCAGTTTACCGATAGTCAGCCGGTGGGCGGAATTGCTGGCGAGGTGCCCAATAATACGGATCCCATGTCCCTGCTGCCCACAAAATACCGGGCGAGGCGACTCATCCGCTGAAGGAAACAAAGAGCTGTTCCACTCATCAATGGGAAGTCAACGACCACCGCGTTTAATTAGCTAGCACACATTTTTAGTCAGCGACTTTACAAGGACGCAGCTTTACGTACACCTAAAACTATAGTTACGAGCCCCCTAGTATTTAATTAAATTATTTGCCCCCAAGTAGATTTAAAATGAAAATCATAATTTGTAATAAATAGTATAAATAATATGTAAAAAATAGATGGATGCCACCGTTTGTTTGAGCTAGCCGAAACAATTACCACTAAAGACCCAGAAGATCGTGATTGATGGGTCTCTGAAGAAGAAAGTCGAACCGAAGTTCGTTTTCGGCTGAGCTTTTTCGCTTTTTCGGGGGGTCTGTGATTAATTGGGCATTTGACGGGTCTCCAGCCACCGACGAGATTTCTTTGGGGCGTGTGCTGCGCCTAATCATCGGCTTTATCGCGAACATTGAAATGGAAGTCCAAGTCATGACTTGACATTGCGCATTTTTGCTGCCTTCTTTTTTTTCGGTAGCTTGGAGGCTTGGAAGATATTTCCAAAGCGAAAAAACCCAGACATATCCAATTATGCTCAATTATTATAGAGTGGATAAGCCGATTTGTTTATTAGCAACTACCCAAATGGGCTCGACTTCATCATATTTCCATTTCGCTTCATTTACTTCAAATATTTGCACAAAGTGAAAGATTGGCTGACTAAAGATGGCGAGAAATATGGTTAGGGTTGAGTAATTGCTGGCTTTGGCTTTCATATAACGCCATTTAGTTGATAGAGATATTATATCGGCTTAGCTTGGGTGATGATTGATGGATTAGAGCTGCGACTGTGAATGGTGTTGGCAGAAAAAGGTGTTTAATATGAATTTGATACTGTGAATCAGTAAATTAAATTGAATTGATCAGTGAGCGATATGTCCCGTTGATAAATATTAATTTATTGCACCGTTTCTATCGGCTATTTAAGGTCAAGGAAAAGGTTTAATATTTCCTTTAAAATGCTACTCAAGAAAAACATTACTTCCATTTTAAGAGAGGATATATAATATTATAAAAGTGTTATTATAAAAATATGACTTTAAAAAAATTTTTAAAATATTATATCCACATTAAATTAGAAAGTGGGACTTATGATTTATTTGTAAATTAATATCCTGGGTATTTTAAAATCAAATCACTTAAAAATAGCTTAAATGAAACCAAAAACACATAACATTTAATTTATTTCAAGGTAGAAGGCTATATAAACAAACACTACCGTTGCCAGATGGTCTTAAATACTTATGTTTTCTAAGCTTGGCTTAGTTGATGGTATGTTCATGTCTTTGCTAAAGCTGAAGCCCCAAAAGTAAGCCACAAAAATTCAAAAGATCCGGAAAGTAGGCACCACATTTCTCATCGACCTTCTTTAATCTGCCCCAAGTTCGTGCCCTAAGTCTTTTGATTTACGCGCATTAAAAAGCACTAAAAAGCACAACACGCTCAACAGGCTGTTGGATGAATATTAATTATTAGCAAGGACCTGTTAATTAGCCCCCATAGAAAGTGAAGCCAGAAGCGTTTGACAAGCAATTAAGCAGTTTTAAACGACAAGTGCCGCACACTTTAAAAGCCGAACAACGAGGCGAGGTGATCGATAAATATTTATCTGAGGCAATTAGAGCCGCTCAGACAGTCGGGCGAGCATGTAATGACCACAACCCCAGATCTCGATCCCCTCTGCCTTTGTGGATCTCCAAAGTGACTGACTGGTCTGGCTGGCGTTATGGAATCTTGCTCTTGCTGACTGATTTATAGGAGGACATAGTGGACCTGGCCATTAGCCAGCCGTCATAAGTGTGGGCCGGTGACGTTCGACTTGAGTGACGAGAGTCGCTTTTGAGACCATAGTGATGTCTTCTTTGTCGGCAGACGACGACGACGACGGCGATGGCGAAGGCCTGGCCTTAGTCGAGCGTTTCAATTAATTAGTTAGCCGTGCCAAAAACAAAATGGCGCTGCTTAAAGCCGAACAGTTGATAAGGCCAAACCAGCAGTAAGAGCAAAATATAATAGGTAGACGACTGCTTACTACAAAGTAGAAATAAATGAAAATGCACATTGAATTTCTCTGATCGCTGGTCTTCGACTTTAGCCTTGACTTTGGCTTTGGCGGCTTTCTAACGCACAGCAGCAGGCCAATTGCGATTATTGAAATACTCCAAAGGTTTTTTCTGTCCATTTCATTTGGTAGCTTGGTCGGTTGGAAGCTTGGCCGCTTGGAAGCGACAAATCATGAGCATCGACAGATGCACCAGAGCCAGCTTCTTTGTAGAGACAATATATATAAAATGTGGATAATTGCGTCTAACTGACAGCCAAGGCGCTGGGCAGCTGGAGGTGCACGAAGAGAAAATAGCACATTAATTCAATAAGGAATAGCTTAAATATTTGGCAAATTAAAATTCTTAAACCCCTTAAAAATTTTAATTTATATAGAAACTAACAATATTTAGTTTAAATCCACATTAAAGTAGAACAAATAATATTCACATTGGGTATAAATATTTATATCCCAAACAAAATTATCTATTACAAATTGAAAATTTATTTATATTTATTTTATATTTATATACAACATATTTTTTTACATCAAAAACTTATGAAGTTAAATTATCATAAATATAACTAATTTAAATATAATTAGCAGATGTAAAATAAATATATTCTTGTATGAAATATCATTTAGACATTATAACATCAAAAGTAGGTATGTTAGAAATAGCATATTTAAAAATAACTTAGACTTTTAAGCTTGTAGTATAATACGTGTTTCTTAATCCATAAGTCTGTTAAGAAATCTTTGGATCTCTATAGTTAAAAAACAAACGTAAAAAACAGTATTAATTGTGATGTTATGTTATGTTATGAAAATGATAAAAGGGAATTGGAAGATCTAATGGGCATTATTTTAAAATATTTCTTGCCATGTATGAGTCTGAACCGGGGAAGTTGGGGGTAGGAGACTTGCTGTCAGCGGATCTGGCTGCTGACTGCTCTCACTCTCTTTCTAACATGATAATTGGACATGGCCTGGGAACGGGTATCGTATCGTATCTGAGGTGGGATGGATGTCAGCTACCTTATATCAACCGTAGATGTACAACCAACTACCTTGGCGACATCTTTGGCAGCCCTATGTCTCCTTAATTGCCTGTCGACTGTCGCCTATCTCTTGTCCAGCTGAAAGTGAAATTGATATATGAGACATACGATTACCCACATATAAACAGTCGCGTTCATCACGAATTCTTCGCTAATTCGCCGCTCACAGTGGATAATTTCGTAATTCCGGTGGCTAATCAAAAATTCGAGCAGTGTGCGAGTGCGTTGACCAAATGGGGCTTGGGCTTTGGGCTTGGGGATTGGAATCGGGGACTCGATTCGGTCACACCTCGTTCCAAACTTCAATCTCGACAATATCAATAAGTTGTGCAAACTTTCTTTTTGTGCGTGTCCATGGTTTTATGTTTTTTCTGGGATGGCGCCCTCTTTTATTTACTCTTTATAAGATCAGTTTTGTGACGCAGCCCAGCCCTTTTACACATAAATAGCATTAGTTCGCGAATTGTCAAAATCAATTATGGGCTCAACTTGGGTAAATAGCAAAGAAAAACTTTCATTTTTCATTTGCTCGACAGGTGGAACGAAAAAAACGTGCCTTTTCACAGCCAGAATTTATCAATGATGCAACTGTCTTTCGGTTTATTTGGTTAACAAATCGTTGATGCAATACTCGCGAGGTGCTAATGAATTTCGTTAGGGAAAATAGGTAAAAGTGGTGAAGGGGGTATGTTAAAAAAACCTAGTTTATTTTTTCTGTTTATGCCAACTCATGTGGGCTGAAATTTCTTCGCTGTTGGGAGGAAATTTCCATGGAACAACCACCTTTTTGACCTAAGCAGGATTTGCATCTGCCATACAAGCATTTCGCCACAGGATTAGCATCTCACGAATGACTTTCAAATGGTATCAAGGAGTTCATGTGGCAGAAGTGGCAGTGAAAAGAGGAGTTCAACTTTTGGGTTACTCATGGCATTCATTGGTGATTTGTGCAGATTATTCAGTCATCTTCTATACAGACAAATGTAGCTATTGATTTAATGGGACTTGAATGGACCATTAAGGTGTTTTTATGTGATTTTTTGAGTTAGTTTAGTTCTTCCTCATTACTAAATTAAATATGTTATATATTAAAAGCAATATAATTTTTTTTTGACTCTTTGTATTAAAATGATTTATTTGATATTTAATTCATATTAATTAAATTTACATTAAATATTAAAAACTATTATGTCAATAAGTTAATTAATAAGTAATATTAATAAGTTAAAGTTTTTATTATTGGATAAACATTTTATATTATAAAGTATTAAGTATGTATACAATAAAAATTTGATTCATTAATATTATTTTTCTTATTAATTTAATGTTTAATATTTCTAAAATTTTATCTGTACATAAACGTTAAGATAAAAACAATTTTTTAATTTGCTTAAAAACTAAATTTTTTTTGAGTTTATTTGATTTAAATTGCCCTATTGGGAGATAATCAACTAAATAGATTTTCTGTTAGTCCATTAAATAATCCGATTATTTTACGTTCTTCTAGGCCAAGCTTAGATATTCAATTAATGGGATTTAAATAGGCTAGCTAGTGGATTTGTTATAAAATACAAAATAAATAAAGGCAAAACAAAAGCTGAATTAAATGTTCCTGCTTTGTTAAAACTTAAATCAAAACCAAGCCTTTTGTTTTCAGACATCTGAGACTCTTTTCAGGCTGAACTGACTGAAACAATACCTGCAGAATGGCTCCCTGCGTAGGTCAAGTCAAAGTTCGTTGGTTCACATATGACCCCAAACTGGGATTCCGAGTCCCCCAGAGAATTCCCCACATATCGCATACACTGGTGACGGTCGAAATGCGCATAGCGGACAGCTTAATTGATCCGTTTGTTCAGTGCATGCCGCATATTTGCTAAAATCCAACAAGTCAATAGATAGCCAACCAAGTAACCAACCAAGACTCTCTTTTGGCCACCTTGGCTGCCAACTTTCCAAAGAGCCACCAACCAATGAGCGCTTTCACATCGAAACTCTCTTAAGTTTCCTCGCGCTTTGGTATAAAACTTCTTACGTATGCGCGTCATGGCTTAAACTTACCTTGAACTTGGTCGTGAGCAGATCGCTGAAGAAGAGCTGGTTGCATCTACCATATAGAAAAATATTCGTGCGGCTTCGGGTTTTTTGGAAAAAGAAAAAAAAGATTTTGAAAATGGAACAAAGCGCCGTTGTTCTTGTGCGTGCCGATAAGTGTATATAAATCAACTGTGTGTGTGCTGCTGACTCTAAGACTTCTGATTTCTGATATCTAACGGTGCCTAGTGTATATATTATAAATCCGTATCGAAGAGGGGCTTCTTACACAGCATAAAAATGGACTGGCAGCTGACCATTTTAGCCGGCCTGATCTGCCTACTCCTGCCAACGCAGTTTAACTTGGCCAAAGCCTGGAGTTTGCCATCCCGCCATACAAATCAACTGGCCTTAGCATCCCAAACACCTGTTGGCCGACGATTAAATGGTAAGACAGCTCTCCAATCAAATGAAGTTTGGGTTTGAGTTTAAGTTTAGTTGCTCCGAGAGCAACTCCCAAATTTCTCTGTATTTTTATTTTTATTTCGTATTTTTTTTCGTTTATTTTTGTAATATAACGAGCAGTGGCAGTAGTGACCAAGCAGACAAAAGAAACAAAACATAAACAAAAGCCTTAAGTAAAATACTTTTATTGCAGTGAAATTTCAGTTCATTAAGCTGCCTGTGAGAGTGGCGATTTCTGTGTTCGTTCGGTAATTATATAATCGGCCAGCCGCCAAACGAAAGTCGTCACTGTCACTGTTCACTATCTTTGCCACTGCCAAAGAATCCGAAAAGATTTATGAGCCACAAGAGTGGCCACAGATCACTCAGAGACGTCAAAGCTGCCATGGCCGAGAGGCATTAATCTTGAATACATGGAGCAAAAAATCATAAATATATCATTTTTATCTAAACATTTTCATAGAAACGCTCAACAAAATTCAACCATCTAAGAATAACCAGAATTGATAGAAAAACGAAAAAATTTAATTTAATTAAAGCTTTTAAAAATAAATCTGTCGTACTTAAAATGTTTTCAAATACCATTTCTTTTTATTTTATTATCACTTCAATAACTATCATAAAATAACTATTAAATATTATTTTTAATGGATTATTTCTATTATATTGCGAAATGACAACCAGAGATTGGGAATTGAATAGTTTCATCAGAAGTAAAATTTAATTTATATCAGTTGCGCCTTTTATAACAATTAATTTTAGATTATAATATCTAAAATGAAACTGATGGTAAAGTTTAATAAATAATATTTGATTTTTGATTAAAATAAAAGTGCTATTTATGATATTTAAAGACAAAGCTGAAAATAACTGTTAAATTGGGAAAAATTAACATAAAACTGAAATCAAACATGGTCTTAATTTTTCCCTTTACATTTTATAATACCAAATTGGTGTTTTTTTATGTGCATCCATTTGGTGACTTCCATGGGCAATGCAGCATAACAAAGTAGCTTGCATGCCAGTTAGTTCTTACCAATTTGGTTCTGTTACGTTATGGAGCGTACGACACTTTTTACTTGGCCGCTGCTGTTTTGCTTTTTTATCCACCGGCGTTTTTTGTCTAAAAAGGTAAAAAAGTAAAAAGGCTTTGAGTGCATGGTGAACAATTAGCAAAGCAGCCAAGGCAACAAGTGCAAGAAGGCATTACCAGAAAGAAATACACCTCGTTATCGTTTAGGGCACTTGGCGTCTCGATCTGCTTCTGCTTTTGCTGAGCATGTAATATGGGTCATAACCAACTAAACCAGAACTAAAAGAAGGCCGGCTGGTTGGGTGTTACGATAGACGTAGTAGACCCCGGCTGTATGTCGAGTCATTAAAGAACTGGCAGCGAAACATGAATTAACGTTTTGTTAGCTGATTAAACGAATATCAAATACACTTGAACTTAAGATATGTAAATATGGGAGATATGGGATGTGGGGGAATTTGATAACTGAGTGGGGGATTGTATAGATATTATCTGGTTAGTTGATGTGGGTAATATTTACTACGGAATTTGTAGTTATCATATTTTATTTTGTACATTCATTCAGATGACAAGTGAAATATGATTTTCTTCTTTTTACAAGTACAGTGCTCTGAAAATCTTTGCTGGTATAAATATCACAGGGCCCTTTAACTCCAAGAAAATTAGTTAGGTACTTTTTAGCAAAGATATTTTGTTTCTAACCTTATAATATTTTAATAGTCTATTATTATTTATTTATCATTTAAATGAGTCTTCAGTATGAGTATATTATTTCTGTGATTGATTTGTAGATATTAAATATAAATTTAAATTAGTTGTAATAACCTAACCTTTCAAGACAACATCCCAAAAATCCCAACAAAAGATCTCCGATTAATATCCCAACCAAGCCCTAAGTTTTTCCCCAAGACCCTCCTCCCGAAGAGCAACACCTGTAAAAGGCGCAATAACAACGGCAACGAAAACAATAAGAAATAAGAATGGATAAACAGAAACAGGCGACCAAACAAGTTGATGTCTTAGTCGCGATACTGTCGGATTCAGTTGGTGACTACACCAACTTGGTCTCAAGCCAACCCAAAGGGAATTTATGGGTGTTTATCGAGGAGGAAGAGGAGGGGAAAATGAAAATACCTGTGTCTCCATTCCGGGGAGCTTGTACAAATTGCGCCGACACCAAAAGCAAAAGCCAAGCGAGGCGCAAAAAAGCAAACAGAAAAACTTGAAACACTCTCGTAATTGGGTTATAACCGTCATATTTGTATGTGAGAGTGTAAAAGTCCGACAGACGAGTCACCTACTCGTACTATTTAAATAAGCCCGGTCTAAAACCGAACGGGTCTCGACCAAAAGGCACTGACCAAACAATGCCACTGGAAACCATGGCTAAGCCATGGCTAAAATGGATAGAAAAAACTCCTAAACGGAGCGACATTGGTGACATTTTTGGTCGAAGCGCAGAAAAATGAAAAGTGCTGCTGCTTCACTGGAATGAAATCTAATTTCATTTTTTAATTGCCGCTTTTCTGGCATCGCCATTGGCATCTCGCCCAGTTTGGTTTGGTTCAGCGAAATGCGGCTGAAAAGATGGTCCACTGCTGCGTTTGCGTCTCCATCTGTCAAGTTTGAGTCGCCACTGGGTTTCTGCGTAGGCATAGCCATTGAGGGGGATTTGGATTACAATTTCCAGCCACAACTAGATGCCACACAGGGAAAAATGTGGAAATATTTCCATGATTGGTCAGCGGATATTTCTCACTTAGCAAAAAGCAAAACCTGATCCTGTAAAGTATCTACTACACTCTGAGTCGAAAGGCTTCAAATAAATTAAGATGTCTTGGGGAAACTTTTAAAAACATATTACAAATTTAATACAAACTCCAAAGATTTTTTATTTGACTCTTAAATACATTCTGGAATTAAAACTTATTAAAAAATATTTTTCTGTAAGACTCTTTAGGGGTTTATTAAATTTAGTTCCCAAATCATTTATAAAACATATGTTAGGTTTCATCACAATTCCCCAATAAATCATAGTTATAACAGAAAAACCAAAAATAACTATTTTTCATCAAAAGCTTTATTTGTTATCAAATAAATATTTAATAATAAAAATAATTCTGAGATTAATGCTTTGACTTTAGAAACCTAAACTAGACAAAACCTTTGTATTATATTTTTAGCCATGGTAGATTTTATGTAGATTTTTAAAGTTAAATTTTCTTAATCTCCTTGATAAGAATCTTTTTCCCCAGTGCACCCATTGATTTGCCTAGTCAAAGTGGAGCTCTAATCAATAAACAACATGTGTGGGGTTGTGTTGTTCAAGTTGTAGCTGCCGGCCATGTCTTGTTTGTGTTTTTTTCGAGCTTGTATTTAACTCTGTGGTTGACTTCGACGTCGTCGTCGTCGGCGGTGTCTTCAATTCAAATTCTGTGCCAGATCGAAACCAGTGAAAGTTTATTAAAGTTTCAAGCTCCGCGGAACTCAAGCTCTCGTGTCCACGAGTCCATATGTCTATATGTCTGTCTATAATATGTCTGCTGGGTCGCACGCTAACGGTTAAGAGTGCCATATTGTTCCGTCCGATTTCTATAATGGCCATAAAATTCTTTTGTAATGAAGTTTGAGATGCTTTAAATGCCGAAACCACTAGATCATTGTATTTAATTCAGCTACCCTAAAAGGTTTGTCGGGCATTTAAATGGAGAGTGGTTTTCAAGGGGCTCAAATAAAAAGAATCAATTTTATGACTTTATGGTTTTCAGAGCAGAGTTTGGAAAATAATTGAATAAGTCTAGACTTATTAATTGCAAAGGGGGAATATTATTCATAAAGAGATTATTTATATGGTTGAAAAAAAAACAAAAGAGCAAAATATTCCAAAAAAGATTTTTGTTAATAACATGAAAACTAGGCTTTAGCTCATTCAGAAAATAAACCACTCAACCTTCACTTTCAAATCGATTAATCCATGAACAAGTCTTTAGCTCTACTGCCTTAAAAAAATGTGTTTTCTATTTTATAAAAAAGATAAAAATATCAAAACCAATTGGTTTATAAATCTTTAATATAACCCCCAATCATTCAATTCACTTTCGAATGCCGCACACGATGCTCTGCAGCCACAATTCATGTTTACAACTTAATCTGGTCAAACAAAATAACTCAGAATTTCAAGCGATTATATGCTAATATTTTACGAGCTACTGTTATAGTCTCTCCTCAGGCGAAGTGAATTACCCAAATGGCCGGCAAGTTGGCCAAGTTGGCCCACATGCCCAGCAGTCCAGCAGCAGTTTACAGTTTATGTCCAAGGCGAATGCAAATGCGTCACCCATCATCAAGTCAGGGCCTAGTATTTGCCATTAACTATAACTATAAGTAAGCCACGCATAAACTGCAACTGCAGTGAAAGTTCATTTGATATTGGAAATTACCTGGGACAGGGATTATTGGCATTGGCATTGGCATTGCCGTTGAAATTACCATACGCCCTGCCAACCCAACGAAACTGTAAAGAAAAGTGAAAAGACCAGCGGCAAAGACCAGCGAAATCATCGGCCCAAATGGCAAATGGCAAAAGGCAACTAGCTTTTGGCCAGAATGGCTACTAAGCAGCTCCCAAGCTGCTGAATATAATGTGCCACATTTGTCGGCCAAAGAAGACAGCCGCCAAATATCGAAGATGCTCGCCAGGGAGTACACTTAAAAAAAAATGATAAAAAAAACCGGTTTTAAATACGAAGGAGAAAATTTAAAATTATAAAAAGTAGATAAATATTTAAATTAAAAACCTTGTACGTTAAATCTCACAGGGACAATAAACATTTATAAAATACAAAACCTCAAGAATAACAATATTTTCCTAAAACGTTTTCTTACAATTGTAATATTCCTAATTAAATTTATCTACCTATACTCAAAATATTTACAAAATAACTTAACATTTAATGAAGACATTTGGTTCCTTAAATCTAAAATGACCCTTTTGAGATTTTTCTTTGAGTGCATCACGAAGTGGCTTTCTTTGAACTTCCCCAGAGTGGTCGATTTCCCTGCCTCCTTGGCACTCCTTTTTGTCCCTAACTTTTGCGCATTCTGGCACAGGTTTTCCTCGTTGTTTTTCGGTTGTTTTGCGGCGTGGGTCGAATTTAGCAGGATGTTATCTATGGGATGTCACCACGAGTTGCAGGTAAACAATTTTTCACAGGCTGGTACTTTTTGGCATGTCCCGATGGCTCCGACTTTGGCTTTCACCCGGCGGCATTGAATTTGGAAATATTAGCAAAGCCTTGGGTCAAAGTACGCGGCGGCGCAGTGTCGGTGTCATTGAAAGTGAAATGAGCCAAATAAATTGTGACAAAGAGACAACAAACGACATGAGAAATCCCACACGAACCGACATTAAATTTTCACTTATCACGACTCTTCTCATGTTGCAACATGGCAATTAAATCAACAAAAGGCCTAAGCAAATACTAATGAATTTAAGTAGGGAAAATAATTGCTCAATTTGTACGAAAATATACGAAATTTGTGTGTCATTAAGGAGAGGAAAATAAGGTAATAATGCCTGTGAGCCAAAATGTGTTGGGCGCCACATCAAATTACTTGACTTGAATTTATTTTCAAAACTTCAATAATAACCTTGAATTCTTTTAAACTTCATATTTATTTCAGCAAATCAAAGAGATTCCTAAAAATATTTATTCATATAAAATTTCCAATGGTTTTAAAATAAATAAATATTTATTGTAAAAGCGTTTAAGATTTCATTGGCGTCTTTGTCGCCGCGACAAATTAATTTATTCCCAATTAAATGGGCTCGAATTAAGATGCGATTAAGATGGACAGGCAGCAATAATTTTAATTGACGGCAATCGCTGAGCATTTTCATTTTCACTCCATCGCTGATTGATGGCAATCTTTTATGTTAACTAAAACATGGCTCGCGCCGTGAACATGGCTTTTGTGTTGGTATTGGTATTGGTAGTGGGTTATTGGGTATCGAATCTAAAATGCATCTGCACGCACCACACATCGGTGGTTCGGTTAGCACCGCCAGCGGGGCAGAAAAACCGCACAAGGTGTTGAAATGATTGCCCAGTGGTACTGGTCGTCACACATACTTTCACTCAAATATTTGCACTGGCTGGAAATCGCCATATCCATATGGTGGAAGAAGCCCGACTAAAGCCATGACCATGTTAGCCAAGTTAACCAAATCAGACCACAAATCCCCACTGAGCTTGGCCAGACGAAAGTCAGTCGAGCTGTCAATCGCAAGTTTGCCCAATTGGTTGGCAGTTTTCCATTAAATATTTGACCAGTTTTGCTTTATATTTGAGTTGATCTTCATGGTATCTTCTTGTGTCTTCTTTGCAGAGGTATCCCCGTATCTCGACCTGGCCTTGTGTCCCATTCGAGCGGAGCCCTGGACCTGTGCCCGTCAGCAATCTGGACGAATTTTGGATGCCTGGGATGGAGAGCTCCATGTCCAGTGGCAGAAACTTAAAGGTAAGTTGGAAAAAATTTAAACTTAAATATTATTTTAAAAGATTTTAAATGGTGCGGTTGATTTAAGCATTCATTTAAAAGGCCCAAAGAAAAAATGTAAGACGAATTAATTTAATAAATCCGAACATACCTTTAATTAAGTCCGAATATTTTATAAATTTTTTTAAAGAGAACATAAAAACTATTTAATAATTCAAATAATTAATTGTGTTTTATTAATCATTCGCCAAAGATATTTAGACCAGAATATTATTGTATTTATTCACAATAAAAGCAATCCAATTTGTTCAAAAGCAAAATATAGCTTTCAAAAGTATTTTTTTTTAATATTTTAATTTGTTTTTATAATATATTCTTTACCCTAGAATTCAGCTTTTTATGCCAGAATATTCCAAAGAAATGTTTTGCCAAAAAAATGCATAATGCCAAACACAATGCAAGTGGGAAATATTTTTATTGGCAACATTTTTCCCACATATGTGGGCATAGAAAAAATCTAGGCAAAGAAAAGCTGGCATTTTCACCGACCCCCGAAGCAAAACTTAAAGTTCAAACAGTTATTCGTGGGTGAGAATCTAAGAAAGAAAAATAAGAGAAAAAATACCCCAGGGTTTTTTTCTGATCATTAAATGCGATAATCAATGACTTTAGGGGAGCTGGTTGGCGATTGTGCACGCAACACATAAGAAAAACCGCCAACGTGCTAGGCATTTACATGAAAAAGCAATTAAAATCGAAAGCATTTTCTTTTCCACTTATTTATTTGGGTTTTTCTATTTTTTTGGGACAGTCGAGGCCGATCGGCAGATGAACGCGACGATCGAGAAACGCGGCTATAGCACATCGGAGTTGCCCGTGAAGGAGAAGCCATCGACGATACTGAAGAAAATTGAAATCGGCACGAATTATATGAAGAAATACCTGGCCGAGTCCATGGACGGGTGAGTTGTTTGTGTGGCTGGAAAAACGAGTTGAATGTTTTTACATCTTCCTGTTATTTTCGACTGCTATTTTCGCCACCTGCAGCTTCCTAGGTCGCGAATACGAGTATTTGCAGACACCGAAAGCGGCGGACGATAATGATAGTGAAACCGATCAGAGTGGAAATAGTGTTGAAGACGACAACGACGACGAGGCGGATGCTGCGGATGATGCCAGCAATGCGGCCGAGGAGGAGGAAAATGCCGACGATGAGGATGCCAATAATGAGGAGGAGGATGAGGACGACGACGACCGGGATGAGGGCGACGAAGAGGATGATGACTCGGACAGCACGGGGGAGAACGAGGAGCAGGAGCCCGAGGCCGAAACTGAAGACGAGGATGTGGATGAGGCTGTGTCGGCACCCGAAAGTGAAAATGAAAAGGAAAACACCCCCAGTGTCTTCAGTGGAACGCCGGCAGCGCAACCTCAGAGCGATGGGAAAAACCCCGTCTTCAACGAGGACAACACTTCAACAGGTATTTATTTGATTTTAATTTTTAAAGAACCATGCTAAATACTCATTTCCATAAAAATTCAACTATAAAATTAAAAGATTTTATTCTTTTAGAAATATTAAAACAAAGATTTCTTTTTCTTATTCCTCTGTTTAATTTTAATGTCGCATTATTCCTTTTGCTAATTAAAAAATTATTTAAAATTAAAATCTCAAACTACGTGTTAAATTAAATAAATTTATTATTTACTATAGACAAATTATTTTAGGTGTCTCAAAGAAAATATTTAACACATGGAACGAGATAATACAATTTGTATTTTGTTTTTAAAACTATATATTTTCAGATATGACCAGATTTAATATAATTTAAACAAAATACAATATGTTCTGATTTTAAAGCAAGAATTCATAACTAATATTTATAATTTTTATACCCGTTACTCGTAGAGTAAAAGGGTATACTAGATTCGTGCAAAAGTATGTAACAGCTAGAAGGAAGCGTTTCCGACCCCATAAAGTATATATATTCTTGATCAGGGTCACTAGCCGAGTCGATCTAGCCATGTCCGTCTGTCCGTCTGTCTGTCTGTCTGTCTGTCTGTCTGTCTGTCTGTCCGTCTGTATGAACGCTGAGATCTCAGAAACTACAAAAGCTAGAAGGTTGAGATTTCCCACACATATTCTTTGGCTTCCTACGCAGCGCAAGTTTATTTTAGCCGAGCGCCACGCCCCCTCTAACGCCCACAATCGCCCACTAACGATTTTAAAATGGGTCCTGCGCCCACATCTTTAAAGATTTCCGAGAAGTATAAATGCAATTTTGTTGTGTATATTTATACCTATCGAAATGTAGAAGACATTTTTCAAATCGGACCATTCATTAAAAAGTTATACGCAATCAAAAATTATATATCTATCTCCCTCGCACTCCCTTTAGCTGAGTTACGATTATTAGTCGGGACACCAACCCGACACAGCGTTCGCACTCCCTTTAGCTGAGTGACGGGTATTAGATAGTCGGGACAACAACCCGACTATAGCGTTCTCTCTTGTTAAAAATGCTTGAATTAGTTTACATGATTAGTTGGAGTATATCTTAAAATTAAATTATCATCAATTATAAAATTATTTAAAAATACATAACATTATTTCCAGGTGTGGAATTCATCGAGCTAGAGGACGCCGAGGAAAATGCGGCAGGTGCACTGAAAAAACCGGGCGGTGGTAAGCGAAAGAAGAACAAGAAGGGCGGCAAGCGCAAGAAGAACAAGAAGAAGGGTCAGGGTCAGGAGACGCAGCCCGCGACCTTGGTGGTCGTCCAGCAAGCACCCGAACACCACGAGGTGGACTCGGGACACGAGAGTGGCTCCTCGGTGATAAGTCATGATGACCATGAGGACAACGAATCCCTGGGGAAACCCATGAAGAAGCGGAAGCAGAAGCGTCGCATGAAGGGCAAGCGAAAGCGCAAGGGTCAACACGGGTCAACCTCCTCGGTGGCAGAGCACGAGCAAAGCGACCTGAGTCTGGGACTGGGACTCCTCGATGAACTCGCGGATGCGGATGATGTCTTCTCGGGCGTCGGCGGGGGAAAGCGAAAGCACAGGAATCCACTTAATTATGGTAGAAGTAACGGAGGTGTGTGTTGTTTGCTGCGTGTGGTTTTACATGACTTTTGCGCACCGTTTTTCCAAGCACAACTTAGTGCCTTCTATGTCTAAGTTTCCAGTTTTTAGGGTAGACAAAAATACAGAGTTTTTCGGTGGCTATTTCATCATGAGAATATCGAAACATTAATGACATTTAGTAAATATTTTAACAATCTTCCGAAAAACATTGTACTAAGCTTGGTTTATACATATGGTTTTCTTTAATGGTGATGGTGTTAATATATATTTTAAAAAATTTGGTTATATCATTTAATGATTTAAGAATTTAAATAACCTTAATACATTTTTTTTAAAGCAATGTTCAATATTTAAAAAGGTTTAAATAAAATAGAGTTTTAGTTATCAGATACATTTTCAAAGCACAGTGGCGCCATCTGTACGGCCCAAGTAAAAAGCTCCGTTTGCTCAGTTCGCTGGGTAGATGGCGCTGCTTTGCTACTTAAATGAGGCGCCAAGTTCGAAACTGATGTTCATGCTTTGACTTAAGAGATTTCACTTTAGCTTAAAAGAAATTGTTTTTATTTTCTAATTTGTATTTACTTTTATTCAGTACAAACTAATTTTTAATCAATATAAATATGGTTAATTTTAAAAATTTTGGTTTAAGTTATAAGTTAAAAGTTAATTGCCTGCTCTTTGCTTGCTTTTTGAATGCCGTTTCGTTATCGTTACCGCACCTAACGCGCACTGCAGTTCATACTAACAAACACCACCCTCCCAAGCGAAGATTATATATTATTTTTGAGTTTCTTGTTCCATTTAGCCAAGTAAGTGCAACAAACTAAGAACTAAACCATACTAATACAAACGATTTTACTCCAATCACCTTTCACTTAAAAATATATAGTGACCCGTGGCAAGAAGAAGAAGAAGAAGAAGGCCATCGCCAAGTTCATAATGATTGGCAGCTTCTTGAAGGCCAAAATCGAACTGCTGCTGAAGATTCTGGGCGCCCATCTGCAGGTCAAGTTCTTTGCCATAGCCCTTATTGGTCTGCTGATCAATATAGCCCGATTCTGGATCGATGTGAAACGCGGCAGTCCGCCTTCGAAGGTGAGTTGAGATTGGGTTCCCAGATCCTGTGAGTTTGTTCCCGGGCATTTAACCCGATTTTTAACGTACCGAAAAACACACACGAACATCATGTTCAGGTTGATAGACCCAGGGTTCTCCCGACTCTAATGGATTTTCTGCACTCTTTCAGTTCTGATAAGAATGTCCCTACTACACTAGTCATAAGTGAACAGCAATATTTATTGGCCAAGGTTTGTTATTGACGCTTTTTGTTTGACCAGCTTAAAAGCGCAGTTCTCACTTTCAATTTGTACACAGAAAAAATAAGAAATCCATTTCAATTCAATTTTTTTTTGATTTTTTTAGTACATTTTTTATATAAAAAAGTAACTAATAATAGTTTCTATATTTTAGTTAGATAATTTGAAGAATTAAATTCTAAAATTTATAAAATGTAAATATTAAATTAGTCTACAGAAAAAGCAGTTTATGTTTTTAAAATTTATTCACATTACATATTCTCTCATTTTAAATTCAAAAACTATTTTTCAAGATGAGAAATTTAAATTCTTTTCTATCCTAAATTATAAAAACTTTTATTCCTTTTGATCATACATTTTATTTTTGTTTAAATTAATCTAAATCCTTTTTAGATTATCTTTTAAAATCAACTATTTTTCTGTGTACCTCTGCTAATCTCTATCCACCTGCCCCTGCCTCTCGACTCTCTCTGTCTCTCCCACACAAGATGTATATAAAGATTGTAAAATGCGTTGTTACCTTCCAAAACACCCGAGCGCTCTAACTTCTCCAACTGTTTTTTGGGTACCAGCTCCAAAAAGTTCTTCAAGCTTCAAAACACCAGAGTTCCAAAACAAAAAACACCTAACGACTCCAAAATGTGCCGTATGCTAACAAATTCAGACCTCTTTGGTTTCAGATATGGTAAAATTTTGGACAGCTCACAAACGTTTTGCGGAACGTACAACTCTAAATAATAAAGCAAAAAACCCAACCAATGTGTTCACTAATAACAAGTATACCACTTTAAGACCCAAAATCTAAAACAGATCTTAGAGTTCGTTTCAAAAAAAAAAAACTTTCCCTTAAACACTGTGTAAGTACGAGTTTGTTGGGCGGATAAAACGAAAAAGCCTTGAAAAGAAGGGTCCAGCCAAAAAGACAGACAGACACTCATAAAAAACTCAGATACACCCAGAAACAGATACAAACCAAACAAAAAACCGAACCACTCACACACTCTTGGGCCTCTTTGGTACTTCCTCTGGTGTTTCTCACTTTACGGCACACGTTTTGCATATTTTCTAACTAGGTTGTATACGTTGAACATGCCCACCATCAGCACCACTACGAGGATCACGGGGACGATTGGAGCGAGCCGGGCAGCTATTGGAAGCGATCGCTGCAGACCCCAGATCCCTCGGCCGAGGATGTGGACTCCTCCACGGACAGCTACCAGGTGCGCCAGCCGGGACAGCAGCAATCCCAGTTCCAGGATCCCCACTATCTGGCCTATCGCAATCAATGGCAATAAATCATCCCCCCATATATCATCCAATCCAACCAACCACCAAACTGAACCTCCAATGGAGACCTTATTATTTATTGTATTTATTTTGATTTACACTCGATGCTACGATGCTGATTATTAAATAATCCCTAAGGTCCTAGAGCAAAATTAAGTTTAGCACAATGAACACGAAATGCCAGTAAACCAATTTTAGTTGTAACCCTTAGTAGCCCCGTTAGTGCAATGCCCCCCTTAAATGTAAAAAACTAAATTTTAAAATTTACCTTTAATGAGAAACCGAAGATCTGTTTTTGGATACATTCGCAGCGATGAAACAAACTAGACCTAAGTTATTTATTGACAAAATATTTATTGTATTCGCATGTTATATGATGCTTATTAAAGAAAAAACAAATTGGATAATTGTGATTTTATTGGATAAGGGAGGGGAATATGTTTTAAATGGTTAAAAACGGATTTTTAAAGCGCTTTTACTCTGTATTTTGGCTGTACGCCAACTTCTTAAATTCCACATTTCCTTTCACTTTCCACGCAACTTCTTTAGAACTTAGTTATTAATAATTCAGAGTCGTTCTAGCTAATATTTCTTCACCTCTAATCAAATCTATATTTATTTTAATTAATTAAAATATTAATTGAATGAACTTATAGTATATTTTATAATATCTTTTATATCCTTGTTAAATAAAATTCATAACATTTATGCTGGCCCCCATAATTCCAAAAAATTCCATTCAAAAAAGCACCGTCATTTCCTGGGTTCCCCCAATCAGAATGCGGTCAGTTCTGTCTGAAATTCCGAAATAAGTTTCACCTGCTGGGCCGTGTTTTTTATTCTAAATTCCGTGGCCCAATTCTGGGACCTACAGCTCCGTAATACCAAATAGGGGAGACGTACGCCCAAAATAGTCGCGTCTCTGGGGGCCATTAATTTTTTTTGGGTGTCGCCAGCAATTTGCGCATGCGCAGATCGCGCTCAGAATGCCAAATGATATTCGCGAAATGTTTGTAATAAGCCATTAAATTTGTGTTTGACAAACGTCTGACAAGTCCAGCGTTGAATTTATGGCTAATAAATCTGACTGAATTGTCTGAAAAAAGGAAATATTTTTGATTTAAATGTCTGGAAAGGAAACCAAAAATAAATGTAAAAAGTTCAGAGGGCGAAAAGAAAGTCAAATTACACCTAATCAGCTTCACACGCATTCTCACACGTTTTGATATTGACCTTGTTTAAATTAATTGAAAGAAAACCTCTGGCCATTAAAATGCAGCGTGAGGAAAAGCAAATTGACATGCCGCAACACGCTCGTTATCAAAGTGGGAGTTTCGTGCAAAGAAATGCTTATCATTAGCAAAATTAAAATCAATGAAATTGGCCATAAAAATTCAATTGACTTGGCTTAACGCGTGGGAGCAAGTCCAAGTTCCAGCTCAGATTGGATGGGGATTGGATTGGAATGGATTGGAACTTGGAACTGGAACCGAAGGTGTCTGCAAACGTGTGCCACATAATTGATTGTCAGAGAAAAAGAAATAGTTTAGTTTTCAGTACTTTCTAAACTACGCCTCTGCACAGAAAGAAAAAGGGACACAAAACATGGACATAGTTCTAGTATTGCTTAAACTTTAAAAAAATCTTGGAAGTAAGTACATATTCTTTATGTTTTTATTCTTATGAAATAAAATTAAAGATGATATCATAAAAATAGTTTGTAATACTTTGCAGCATTCAGTAAGCGAATAATTAAGATTATATACATATTTTTTAAATATTTATCAAACGGAAAATTTAATAAAATATTTTCGTTCCGTTATGTGATTATTTCTGATCATTTTTTACCATTCATGAGATTTTTCCCAGTGCACTTCGGACTTTGGATTATTTTTAAAGTGGGCGGTGGTGTCGATCTGGATGTCTGGTGGGTGTGGCTCCTGGCCATATATCATGCAGATACGATCTGTTCTCGATATGTTGCCAAAAAAAAAAAAATCGCTAAAACAATCAATTGAAATTCTCCCAACGCGAGTGTTTGCTCAATGGGGATTGGGTTCGACTTTTGAATAACGGTGAGCAACGTGCAGTGTTTGCAAAAAATCATAAATAGTATTCGCCAAAAAAATGGGAAGTGTCAGTGGAAGTGGGCGTGACCGTAGGCGTGGGTCAAAAGATTTGGCAATACAATATTTTGGATAATTTCTAAGCGCGTTCCGCGGAATGCTCCACTAAGTGACAGGCGACGACGTGCCGCTGTCAGGTGAACTGTCAACTTGGGCATTTGATGGAAACTTAATTAATTTAACTGCCGCTAGAAAGTGGGGCCTGCATCGCCCATTCGTCCATTCGACCATCGGCATATCACGTATACGCAGCGTGCACGCGACTCAGTGATCAGTGGCTGAAAATGAAGGGCCGATTCCACATTTTAATTCCAACGCCCACGTGTTTAATTTCAGGCTGCTTCTGAAATTGAAAAGCACTCATGATTTTCCATTGCACTGGAATTTGCATTTTAGAAAGTTACATGTGTTTTTTCGCTGCATTATAATCGAGGCAGAAAAAACCCCAAAATCCAAAGTTCAAAGAAAAGAAAAAGTCCAAGAAGCATTTTCGCTGCTGCATTTTTTCAGACGATTTTTAAATAATACCCGTTTTATAAGGGGCCTCCTCCTGTCTATTAATAATTTTATTCTTCATAATTCCAGTCATGATTCTGGCTTTTTGCTTGGACGTAGAATTTTTGCCTCAACCTCAACACGTCGCCTTGTTGTCAACTGGCTTATCTTTGCACGATTCGCTCTTGGTTTGGGCCCTTTATGACTTCTTTGGCTGGCAAACATTTAATGCAAAATGCATTGCGAGTTACTTTGTTGCCAAGTGCCATAAAGTGCATGAAGGCATGTTAATGATCGAGCTTAAGGAGTTTGACTAAAGGCAGTCGTAAAACCGTTTTATTCGGAGAATTTATCTCTTTTATTTTTTTTTAAAACGAACATTTTACTATAAAAAAGTACTAAAATATAACACTATTTCATTTATAGGTTCTCATAAAAAGGGCGTTTAAAATAAATTAAATTTATCTTATGTATAAACAATAATAAAACACTAAAACATTTTAGAGACTTTTTATTAGTTACTGTTATTTAAATAAATAATATTAAATTAAATAACTACATTTTTTTATAAATATTATTTCTTAAAACTTATTGATACCCAAAGAAATGCATATAAGCTGATAAATGTTCTATATAAGAATTTAAATTTACCTTGCTTATAAAATAAATTTCATATTTTCATAACATTTATACATTGAAATAGTTTTAGTCAGAGACCTTTGCAATACCATCTTACAGATCCCAAGTATTTTCCTAGACTCATTATTATGCCAGGAGCTCTCAGTTCCCCTACAAGATGAACAACATCAGATAGTCCGAAAAAAGGCGTCTTTGATCAGCCGCTCTTAAGTTTTACGAGCCAGTACAGCCATGACAACTAACTAGCGCCAGTCAATACATAATTAATAAGAAATACCATAATTTATAGCTATTTCCGAAGCCATTGGCCTCTGCAGCTTTCGCTTTTCCGAGCTCGGAGGTGTACGTGATTTTGATAGAACTCGGGGGATAGAGAAGGGGCGCTGGGCACTAAACATGAAATTAGAAATTCATAATTGTCGCGTAATAAGGCACCAAAAAAAAATACGTGGACTTCGATTCGTTCGCATGCGAAATGGTAGCACACCATTCTAAATTGCTAATGCGCCTTAATAGGCTTCGCTTGTTTTGGGAGTTTCGCGTTTTATGATGGGGTTTATTTTTGTATTTTTGTTTTTCGGTGTGTGAAAGTCACTGCATGATGATATTTCGTTTGTTGCATAATCCTTCCACTCGTAGAGCCCCCAGGGCCAAGCCAATGAACCCCATCGAATTTTTGTTAGCCCATCTCTAGAAGAATCATGCTATATGCCATGATATACTCGCACCATAAAATTGCAATCTCACGTCGTTGCCGGGGCAATCTTTCGAGTGTAATCTTCGCTCTGTAGACTCGTGTCTTCGTCACCCATCTGCCATCCCTGCTGAGGCCTCCTAATGGATAAACAATTTCTCGGTAATAAAACATTGTCACCCAACTAACCGGGTTCTTTGGAACTGCTTTGCTGCCGGAACTGGAGGATTCTTGAATTAGAGGGGAACCACAACGTTAAGTGGGAGTTCTTTAATGGAATCATCAAAACTATATTCAGAACTTCCAATTAATATGACTCTTAATTATAAATATGAACTAAAGTGGCTTATTATTTTGCTGTTTTTTTTTATGAAGATACAATAAGGTAACACAACAAAACTAGAAATCTAAAATATTTAATAACAACAGAGATTTATTTAAAACTTTACTAAAATATTTTTAATGACTTTTTATTATTTATTTTATTTTTTTTTTATTATAATAAATAGTCTTAGAGATTGAATGTTTTTAGTCCTGGTCAAATGGGCCAATATGAAATAATTAATAATATTATTTTTTACGCAGGAATAAAATAAAAATATTAATACAAAGAATTATAAATTGCTAAAATTATATATTTGACAATAACATTTTTCCCAATTTTATACTTTTTAAAATAACATCAATATCTCACCCTTAAAGAATACCAAATCTTCAGAAGATCATGGTCATGACCATCATCTTTCTTCCCGCTCTTCCTCGCTGTCAGCTGTCTCTCTGCTTTAAGTTCCACACAATATGGATTCCACATACGTCGGCACACTTTAAGCGCATGCGCGCCAAACTTACCAAAAGACCCACACACCAACACACAGTGCGTATACGCAATGTCACGTCTGCTGAGGAGAAGAAGAGGGTTCGGGTTCGGATTCGCGTTCGGGTTCCACTGTGGTAATTGAGTTGTTACTGTACTGTACCCACACACAGTGTCTAGTACCCACCTTTCTTCGGGGCTTCTCGACACACACATGTGTGTGCGTGACTCTTTGGTTTCTCTGCCTTTTTGCATTCTTAATAAATCAACGCGAAGAATATATAAATTGGGCGGCTCGGTGGACGGTGGCAGTTAGTATTTTCCAGCCAACGGTGCCTCACAGGTGTGCAAAGAGCCCGCAGTGCGAGTGCAAGCCTTGGTTTTTACCCTCCAAGCCCTATATACTAAAGCCTGGATATCGAATTGGATTAACTCTTCAAAAAATAACCAATATAACCCCACAACGGATTAACGCGTGTTTATCAAGAAAAGTGCCAGTGATATAGTGGTGGTTTATAAAGTGACTGAAAGTAAACCATCTGCGTGTGAAAATGCGGAAAAGCGTGTGTTTGCTGCTTCTACTGGCGGCCACCTGCAGCGCAGGACCATTGAGCGCCCATCAGGTGAGTAATCGCATACGATATATATACGATATATATCGGATAAATCCAGCAGACAGCTTGACCACCGCAGAGACCATTTCCGTTCGCCCCCTAAAACGGAAATGGGAAACTGTTAATGAAATGTTTGCCAGACCGCCGAGCCAAACGATGAAATTTTAATGGGACACAACCTGGACTTGCATTTGCATATATGAATGTTCTGCCTCTCCTGGCATATTTGGTATGCCAAGCGTTTAGCCTTTTTTAACGGCCAAGTCGAGCCAAGAAGAGCGAAGTCTTAGGTATTTATAGGCACTGCTGCAGGTGGCTGAAGAAATGACAGGTAGAAGAATTCGCCAAGCGAAATCACTGAAAATGGTTACCAAGAATTGCTTATTATTAGAGTCTTTAAATCCGCATTACTCATTTAAGGGGACCTTTTTGGATGAAAGGTCTCTGTACGACTGAAAGTTTTCACCACCAAAAAATCAAGTTAACAACAAATCAATATGGCTAAAATATTATGTGATAATATTTGAGCGTTCCATTCGAAAGTGACTTCAATTGCAGTGCGGCCCTTAAAAGGGCGAACGCCACAGGTGCGAACTGCACAGTGGGCTGGGCTGTAGGTCTTCGTATTATTTCGATTCGATTTAATTTTCACTTGCCACCGCGTAGACGAAAACTAGAACACAAGTGAAATTTTTCGGGTGCCTAGCTGATCGCAGAGTCACGTGCTGGATTTATGGGATTATCCATGCCAATCACGTAGCTCGTTAGCTCAATGGATCGTACAGCTGGCTAATCGTACACGGAAAATAAAGTTAGGATAAGATGTGTCATTGGGATTTTCCAAATCGATGGGTTCCAGAAACTTTATGGGATTTTTTATAGATTTTTGATTTAATCCAAATCGATGGGTTCCAGAAGCTTTATGGGATTTTTTATAGATTTTTGATTTAATAGATTCAATACATTTATTGGATATTTTTGAAGATTGAGAAGATAGAAAAATAAGTGATTCTACCAACAGAAAATTCTCGACATTTTTTGATTTAACTAAAACTATTTAATCTATTTATAATATCTATTTTAGGATTGAGAAGTAGAATATTTGACCCTTACCAGATTTTTGCACATTTTATTCAACTTCCTATAATTTGCAAACTATTATTTACTTAATTTCTAAGACATCTAAAAATAATTCAATTTTAAATTAATATTTTATTTATATTTATGTTGATATTTATATATTTTCCTTAATTTTTTTTCCGTTTTGCAAATCTTCTAACAGAAGAGAAAAGCGCCGGTGACTCGTGAGGAACCTGTGCCCGTTGAGGTGGAAATGCCGGAACAGACTGAAACCGAGGTCGAATCCTCTCCGGCGGAACCCGCCTCCCTGGGAACCCTCACCCTGCCCAGCAATGCCACCTCCATTCGGTCGGACATCACGGATAACTTCTCGTGTGCCAACAAGACGTATGGATACTATGCGGATGTGGAGAACGACTGCCAGATCTTCCATGTGTGTTTGCCAGTCACCTATGCCGATGGCCGGGAGAACACCTTCCGCTGGAGCTTCATCTGCCCCGAGGAGACGATCTTCAGTCAGGTGGGTGATCAGGATTTATCCCTGCTATTTAGAAATTTAATAAAATATTTATCCTTTAGGAATCCTTTACCTGCATGCGACGCGAGGACATGACCATCGAGTGCGAGGATAGTTCTAGGTACTACGAACTGAATGGCAACTTTGGTGGTGCTCCCGAGGAGGAGAGCAAACCCACTCCAGTAGAGAGTGAGCATATGGAGGAGGAGAAGGAGGAGGAGGAATCCAAGCCAGTTGAGGCGGAACCAGAGCCAGAGCTTCCTGCAGAACCAGAGGTCCAGACTGCCAAGCCCATGAAACCAGTCAAAGTGCAGAAGCCCAAACCCAACCGAAGGAAGCCTCAGCCGCAGAGGAAGGTTCCAGTTACCGTGACAGCTGCTCCCGAAGTAGAAGCTGCTCCGGAGGCAGTTGCTCCTGCTGTCAAGCCACAGCGATTCTCCATTAGACCCAACAAGGAGAGGCCGCAGGGAATCAAACCAGCAATTGCTGCCCCTCCCCTGCGAAATGACCTCTTCAATGGCATCCGCAAGCGTCCAGCGATCTTCAACAAGCCAACGACTACAGTGAAACCTGTGGAGGAGGTGGTGGAAAGTGAACCTGCTGCTACGGAAGCTGTGATCCAACTCAGTGAACCTCAACCCACACTGAAACTGGAGACCTTGTTTGCCGAGCCCGAAGTGATTTCCATTCCCGTGGAAGTCCAGGAGCCAGAGGTTCAGGCTTCCGAACCAGCGGTGACTTTTGTTCAACCCGAGGAAGTAAAGGAGGAGGTGGAACTACCCACCAAAGTGGAGATTGATACCAGGATTGAGGATGTCAAGCCCATTGAAGCCATCGAAGAGATTCCTACTGTTATAGTGGAACGTCTAGATGAATCAAAGCCTATGGAGAATGAAATTAAGACCGAAGAGCAGAAGGAAACTAAGGTGACTGAGGAGGTCAAACCAGAGGAAGAGGTCAAGCCAGAAGAGGAGGTCAAACCAGTAGAAGAGGCAGTGAAAACAGAAGAAGAAGAGATCAAACCTGAAGAGGAAATCAAACCTGAAGAAGAGATCAAACCAGAAGAAGTTATCATCAAGTCAGAGGAGCAAGTGAAACCACAGGAGGAAATCGCAGGAGAAGAAGAGCCCGAAGTACCAGCCAAAGTGGAGGAGATCCATGAAGCTCAACCCGAGGAAATCAAATCCGAGCCAGCCATTATGGAAACTACTAACTCCAATGAAGAACCCCTGAATCTGGAAACCCTCGAAGCAGCCAAGCCAGCCGATGCACCCGAGAGCATGCCAGCCACCCCCGAAATGGAGCAACATAGTCCTCTTGTAGAGGAGATCCTGGATAACAGCCACGAAGGAGAGGCCCAGGAGTCGCTAGGTGGCTTCAAGCCAGTTGATCCTGTGATGGCCGCCGAGGCGGAGCAACTGATCGTCGATTTTCTGAATACTCTAAAGAACAACGAAGAGAAGCCCCAAATTAACTTGAAGGATATTCCTTCACCAGTTGAAAACGCAGATGTTTCGATTGAGGAGGCCAAACTGCCGGAACCGGAAATTGTGGACAAGAATGCCTCTGTAGAAGAACAGCTTTTAGAAGAAACTGAAGTTAAAAAGAAGCAAAAACCAGAGATGATGAAAGATTCGCCCATTATCAACATTATGCAAGTGCAGCACATGCCCATGGACTATCAGATTCCAGTTCAGGTGATTCCCCTCGAGGAAGAAGAAGTTCAACCCATTTCCGCCATCTCTGAGGACTTAGAGAATGCCAAGGAAAGTGCTGAGGAGAAAATAAAGGAAGCTAATCCCGAGGAGGTCAAGGATGAAGCCCCCGAAGAAGTCAAAGAAGAAATCAAGGTGGAAACACCTGTCCAAGAAACTTCTCCCGAGGAGGTCAAAGAAACCATTCCCGAGGAAATCAAGGAGACAGCTCCTGTGGAAATCAAAGAGACTGCTCCTGAGGAGCTCCCCGAATCCCTTCCCGAGGAGACTCCCACCCACGACGATGAGGCTCAGGATCAATCCACTCTAGTCACCGCCGCCTACATGCCCTCGATCAGCATCGATGACATCGTGGAGCTGGTCAAAGAGCGACTGGATCAGACGCCCAAGAAGGATCAGATGGCTCCCATGGAGCTGATTCTCACGCCAGGAGCGGCTGAGCCCATGAGCCTGGTGCAGCAGGAGCAAGCGGAGGAGCAGGAATCCCAGCCAGAGATGGAGGAGCAACAGGAGGAGGAGCTCATCCTGCCCATCTACAAGCGCATCTCCGCCGCCGAACCCGCCATGTCCAAGGTGCAAACGCTGCCTGTCACCGTGAGCAAAGTGGAAACGGAAACGGTTTCAGAAACTGAATCCCAACCGGAAGTGCGGGAACCCAAAATGGATGCCCGCAAGCGTCGCTTCCTTTTCCGTGCCGATGCCAGCTAAAGAGGATTAAAAAGAGAGAGAGATCGAGAGAGGATACCTAAAGGACCGATAGCAATCCTGGCGAGGATTACCCACTATCCTCCCATCCTTAGCCCGAACCGGAACCCCGTTCACCTCCTAGTTCCCAAAAACGCTATCCCACTCATTTGCAACGTAGGCAAGTTTTATTTAATAATTTTTTGATTTCCTAGTTTTTATGGCCATTTCTCAGCAAAGGAAAAACGCGCGCACGAGAGTTGAAATTTAAGTTTAGAATTGTTGTTCCGCAAGAGAGTTAAAGAAACAAATTACAAACAAACAAAAAATTGAAAAAAAAAATCTTAAAATAAAAATATTAAAAATGAAATGTTGATATGATCTTTGTGTTAAGGTGGGTGGAAAAATTACAGGGTATTTTTTATTTCGGTCAGCTAATCAACTCCATCGTGCAGAGGTTTGAGTGTCCTGTGTCTTGCCAAATCGCATTCAATCTCTGAACGGTAGAGATGGTATGCTCAAAAGCATCTTAAAAAAATTTCTAACAAAAAATTAAAAACTAAAAAAATGTCTCCTCAATTCAAAAAAAATTGCAATGTAAAGTTAATGGAAAAATTTAGAACAATTTAGAAAATAAAAGGTCCTTATCTTTTATCAATTGCGAATTTCTAAAATAACGGTTTCTTATCTTTTTCAGTGTACCCATTACTAAGTAAGTATTCATTCTGTATTTATTTAAGGTAGTTTTTTAAGCATTTAAAAATGAGTACCGCTTTCTCTTATTACACAGGTCGACAAAATCAAGACTTTTTCTTGGCCCATGAATAAACGCTACAAAACCTGAAAGAATTTTAGCTGTAGATTACTACCTCATACTTGGAAACTTTCCATCACGTCGAAGTTTTGAGAAATCCGTGGTCAAAGTTCCAAATTTTTGATTTTTAGGCACTTTTTGCGGCTTAATAGTAAGAAAACCTTTCGTAGCCCAGAGCCACAATTTAGCGGAAATGGTACCTTGAACCTTTAACTTCAAGAGTGTCCAATCACAAAGCTGGGCGACCTCTACTTCTTTAGCTACAATGGATTTTACAGAAGTACTTTTTGTCACTTTTTTTCATCTATAGTAGCCTGATATTTTTAATGTATTGTATGTATATGGGTCTCAGTTCAACAAGAAAAATATCAGGCTACTATAGATGAAAAAAGTGACAAAAAGTACTTCTGTAAAATCCATTGTAGCTAAAGAAGTAGAGGTCGCCCAGCTTTGTGATTGGACACTCTTGAAGTTAAAGGTTCAAGGTACCATTTCCGCTAAATTGTGGCTCTGGGCTACGAAAGGTTTTCTTACTATTAAGCCGCAAAAAGTGCCTAAAAATCGAAAATTCGGAACTTTGACCACGGATTTCTCAAAACTTCGACGTGATGGAAAGTTTCCAAGTATGAGGTAGTAATCTACAGCTAAAATCCTTTCAGGTTTGGTAGCTTTTATTCTTGGGCTTTTTATTTGTCGACCAGTGTTATCAAATGAACTACGAATCAAAAACTAAAGACTTAAAAAACAAACTTTCTAGCTATTTAAATTAAAAAGGTCAACCTACAATATTCGTAATTTATTATAGAAAATCGTTTACAAATCGCATTAACACTTAGGCTTTGGGTAATTAGCTGTATGAGGCAGCTACCAGGTGAGAGAACTACAATTTACAGATACAGTGAACACTGGACGTTAAGTAACTAACACATCACATTGAAGAACTACAGTGGATCCTCGACTACGCCTCCGTTTCCTGTTCGAGTTCGCCGGCCTGGATTTCCTCCGGCGTTCGCAGATCGATGGCGAACTTTTGGCGCGTGGGCGTAATGGAGTCGCTGGGCGTGGCACCCTCACCCCCCTCCTCCTCGCCGGCCGCCTCTTTAACCCGCCGAGAATAATCCTGAAAGGCGGCGGCCAGGGCAAAGGTCAATTTGCGGGCCATCGCCCGACTGTCGCAGACGAAGGCGTGGACTTCAAAGGGATGTGGACTGGACTCATCCTTCACCACGATCATGGCAAAGACCCGGGTGTAGACCAAATCCTGAACCCCGTACGAGATCGTATCGATCGGGTAGCTCCAGTGATTGATGCTCGCCTTGGGCGCAATGATCTCCAGCTGAACGCCCTCGGTGGAGACCTTAAGTTCGCAATTAGGCAGCACCTTGTTGGGCGGCAGGTTCTTGGCCACGCCCACCATTATGTCCACCGGTCGGCGGGTGTACTTGATGCCCCACAGGCCGCGTGCCACCTCGGAGCCAATATATTTCACCTGCACGGAGAAAAATTGATCAGTTACTATTGATTTTTATTATGGTTTAAAGGTTTTTTCTTTAATTTAAAAAGAATATTTCTTTCTATTGTGATAGGACCTATTGATAATTCCAGGCTACCAGTATTTATAGAAAAAATCGTACTCTCTATTTATAAACGTTTAAAGAACATTAAAATTTTCTCATTAAATTCTAAAGTTAATTGTTTAAAATAAAATATTTCATTAAAGGTTTAACAAACTTCTACAAATTCATCATATATTTTATACATTTACCTAAAAACATTTTCAAATATTTTTGAAAATAATTTCTAAAATTGTTGTAGGATAATAACTAGATGTTTTGAACTTTATGATATCTTCAAAATTACTTTTTTTCTAATTTTGTTTTCCAATTTTTTAGCTTTAGTTTCTAAAACCAGTGCAAAACCGCTATTTTTTCCCATTTAACGTAATATAAGTAAGCAAAAAAAGATGTTTTCACGGCGAGTGTGGGATGGGATTATTCATCGGTGGCATTGGCTTCCGCTGCGCATGCGTTGCCGTTAGAGTCGCTTAATTTGCATCCGACCTGCGACCGGATGTCCACAGGCAAGCCAAAAACCAAAAAGTTGTTGCTTTGGCTGTTGCTCATGTGGTGGGGCCACGCCCCTTCGCTCCACCGCCCCCAATGTGAAGTTCAGCAGGGCGTGACGCGTGCGTGTCTGGCTCTTTTTTTTGGATATGTCTCGTATGCGGGTGGTATGCTCATACATATGTCTGCTTTTGTTCAATTATGCACTAAACAAAAATTGTACAACCAAAAAAATTAAAGAATATGTTTTAGCTTAAAATGTTACTAAAACTTTAAGAATTAACGTAAAAAAAATAATAAAAAAAATAAATACTTTAAATCCATTTTAGTGTTTAAATATTAAATAAAGAAAATATTATTTTTGTTAAACATTAAAAATTTCATTTAATTATTTTATTTTTTTATTTGTTTGATTTATAGTTTAAATTTTTAAAAATCCCTTTTCAATTTCTCTCTGTGTATTTTCCGACATATGGATAAGAGGTCTTTATGGCAATTGGTACCTGAACTTGCGCCACTCATTTCCATTTCACAGCATTTAAATACGCATTTCGCAATGTGGACACTCACCTTGAACGTTATAGGCAAATCCTCAACATTGACCTGACCGTCCAGATCGGTGGTACTGTTGCTGTTGCTGGAAGCCATTCTATGTATCTTTAACCGTTTGTATCTCGTGGATTGCAGGGGTGCAGGCGAAGATCCACCGTTAAACGCATTCACCGCAAAACCAACTGAAAGGTCGCAAAAAACGAAAAAACATGAGGTTGAGTAATGCTCCCATTAAAAGTGTAGTCCCTCATCATCTCGGGGATACTTTATGCGGTGTATTACAGTTCACATCCACCGTTGCATTACCATATCTCTGCCGTAATCGCTGAACCTTACATGGTTTACTTTTTGAACTTATATGTGGCTATATACTTTTATATTCCCCACTGAATATCGGTCGACTAATTGTTCTGTTTGGGTTTGTTGTTGCCGTTGCCGGCTGACGATTGCTACTGAACCCGCGATCGGCGGCAAAAGGTGTCGCAAGTTGTGCCCCAGGTAGCTCCACTCCCTCTCGCTTACTCTGTAACCCACCTGGACCCCCCTTTCCCTCCCTCTCACACAGGTAAAAAAGCAAAGAGCGCAGGCAAAACAAATGGGCTAAACAAAAGCAGCGCTCAGATAAATATTTTTTCTCTCACGCGGTGTCGCTGCCTAAGCACAAACAACTGATATTAGAAGCAACAGTTATGCACAAAGAAAAATATTTAACTAAAATAAAAAAGTTGAAAAAATACAAAACTGAAAGGATAACATCGTAAAACAAACAAAAAATTAAGACCAAAAAAAAATTATAAAGTGTTTGGGTAATTTTTAATACATTAAGCATTTCGGGAAAAATATGAAACGTCATATAAATAAGTCAAATTAATAATATTAATAATTCTACTTGGGCCAGTAAGAGTACTTACTTAGATCGATTGAAAAATAACTGCTTATATTATTCAGTCCAGTTAAAAAAACCGTGATTTTCAGATTTTAAATTATTGTAAACAATTTTCATGAAAAGCGCTTAGACGGAATTTAAGTTTTAACATTTGTACAAAGGTTTACTGTGTTCCATTTCTATAAATCTTACAGAATTAAGAATTAATGGAAAAACGTATTTCCAAACGTTTTGCAATTTCCTAATAATACAAATAGTTTTTTTCAGTGAGTCGGGGAAAATTTTACCGGTAAATGCTTTTAAAATCTAATCAAAAAATAATTATAAGGTAAAACATTAATGCGGCAACTGATAACCTAGTTAAAGTCACTGAAGTAGAGTATTCAATCGCCCATTTGTTAAACCACTTTTTCCACACTCACTATTTGCTGCACACTATTTATTAGAAATGCATTTTTAATATTTCCTCACGCAGCCCGTGGACCACTTCAAAAACACAGGAACAACAACTACAAAATATAATAGCATTATACCGGATATATGTATAATACAATGACCATGCTGCAATAGTTGCATGTTTGCCAATTAATGACCAACGAGAGAAACCCAAATTAAAACCAAAACTGAAACGAATTGGAATGAAATGAAATGAGTTCATTGCAATGGATTTTTACCTGTGTGACGTCACATGTGCAACAGCCTATTTTTTTGTTTAATAGTTTTATTTGTTCAGCTCTGACTACTATTTTAGTGCCAATGACCCAAGCGGTTAACAAGTGACAATGACCAGTAGTACAACAACAAAAAACACGAGACTAATTGAGTTCCTCTCTTTGGTTTTTTGTTTAAAAAGCTATTTACAAGTCCCCTGATCCAGATCCAGATTTTCATGTAGATCACGGTAATGGCTTTTGGATCTCATATATTACCATATAACCGCCGTTTAAGCCATTAAAATCATTTGCAACGCTAGTCCAATTTTCCCCAATATATATTATTAAATTCCGCTCACTTTCTTACTCTCCTTATCGCGGTTTACTTTGGGTCTATTGCATAGCTGCAGTCAGAAAACAAACAAATGATTGTTTCCGATTTCTTTTGATTTTTTTTATAACTTTACAGTCCTAAGTGCAGTGAAAAAAATATTATACATTTTCTAATCAAAGAAATCTTAATTTCTTTACATATATCTATGTAAGTCATTGTGCCTATAACTCAGTAAGTATTATTTTACCACCAACCATAACAATAACAATATCAGACACAGATACAGATACAGTAGCACTCGCAGTCCAATTTAGATAATTTTCCACTGGACATTTTAGTTTAAACGGTGCCAAAGCCGGAAGCTGCTCATATGAGCATATCTCCTCTATATATATATCATTTTTTTTTTCATAATTTCTTTACGGGCACTGATGATTACGGTCATTTGTCGCACATATAAGTAAATAGATTTGCGTATATAGAGCTTGCTTAACTTCTGTACTTAAAATGTTCTCAAAATGACTAATTCATTCTTTTATTTACACTTTATTTTTTATGGTCACCACTTTTGAGTTCCAATTGCCTGTTATCACATAGCGAAACATTCACCCATTCGTCTAATCTTATCACTCACTACCTCACGCACACGGGGGAAATTAGCACAGGTAAAAGGGTAAAAGTTTTACTTTGTTTTTGACCAAAAATGGGTAGATTGTCTGCAGACAAAATGTTATAAAAATTCTTAAAATACTTCTGGTGATTCCCGATTGATTGTGGAAGTGGAAGTCACATTGCAATTACCGATCTTATCGTCGTATTGTTTTCTTCGGTTTTATACACCTGTTTCCTCGGCCGGTAAACCCGCGACTAACGAAAACCCCAACGATCGTGGTCAGTGATGCCGCTTTAGCTTTTTTGCCTTTTTATTGGGCTAATCTAATCTGTATTTGAGTTAAAAAAACTTAACAATAATAACCTGTTTATATTGTATTTTTATATTTTATAAATAAAAAAAAATTATTTATTATCTTTTTTCTATTTATTTGTAGAAATCTTTAGCCTAAAATTATGACATCACTGGTTAAATTTGTTTGTCTCTCCTAGCTAATACATGAACCCTATCTGAGCTTACACTTTTTACAGCTTTTTACATTTGAACTAATTAAAAAATAAACTTTTAAATATTTAATAATTAAAAAATGACGAAAAATAAAAATATGAAAGAAACTTATATCACTACATTTTATTTATGAATTAATATTATAATTAAATAGATAACCATATCTAGAAAAAAACTAAAACTTTAGGGTTTTTAATAGATTACCACTTTTACTTAATTGTTTTATGAATACAAATTTTTTCGACAACTATCCTTAGTTAAATATCTCTCACATTCTGTCAGTTATTATTTGTCAATATTCCGACTAGACATCTGCTGCTCTTAAATCTTTATATTTTTTAGCAAGTAAAAATATGAATTGCAAATGGAGCTATTGCTCACCGTTGAATAAAAATACCGTGGTTGAACGCAGCCTAGATTTGCGACTTCGTGGTGCCCAGGCGAGAAATTACCTAAAGATATGTTGCCTTCATGTGGTGATCCTTTTGTTCTTTCTCCGGGACATTTGGCAAGAAGGAGACAGGAGGCAGTTCTGTACCATCGTGGCGGAGTACTCTATTTCCTCGGTTTTAGGTCTCAGTGCACTGGCCTGTGTCATCAAGTGTTTGTGGATGATGTCTGGTGATGAACAGGTGATCGGAACGGAGAGCCAAAAGTGCCTGCTCGATGGCAAAGATGGTAAGTTTGCCCTTGGAGAAGTACTATTACTGCACTGATAAAAATAACTTTAGAAGTCAAAAGATTACATATTTAATATAAGTGTTTTCCGCAATGTTTTTATTATTTTAAATATGAAAATATTAAATAGAACAATTACAGTAAAAATTACATTTTGATTTTAATATGAATTTATTTTTTATGACGTCAAATACTTAAATTAAATATAACTATCCTAGTATTTAATATTTTCTACCATCATTCAAATATTTTTTAATATTCCCTAAATTTCTTTTCTTTCTTAGAAAACCTCTTTGGAACTGTTTACACACGTCCCTTATTAAAAGCAGGGACTAACCTACCGGAAACCGATTGGAAACCGCTCAATTGGCACTCCTCCTACAATGCACATTGGAGGCCCAAGAAGACCGTCCTTGGAAAGGGAAACTTACAAAAGTGTAAATCACCGTATGAGGAGCTTAACCCAGATGATTTCATCACCGACATCCGAAAGCTGCCCGCTTTAATGAGAAGGGCTAGAAGAGAACGTAAAGCCATAGAAGATATGAATAACGATTTCCTGCGAAAGTACTGGAAATATCCAACCTGTAAGATAAACAACACATACCAATATATTCCACTGCCGCAAGAAAACGCCAGCAAAGTCAGCAATTTGGAACATATACCGAAGAGCAAATTTCTGCAGTATGTATCCAACTTGAGGTTTTGGATCTCAACCACAATACTGCATCGTTTGGTCAACGAAATTGAGTATGTGAATAAGGTATTTCAAGAGATTGGCTTTTACGCTATAAGAATTGGGGCCATAAGTTTGGAGAGACTGCGATCGATCGTCGCGGATCAGGGATTCGTGAGGAGCCATGTTCCCATGTTGCCGACTGTTTTGGCTTTTCTCGATACATTTAGCAATCAGGAGTATTTGGTGCTGCGCATTCAGGAGCTAGCGGAGGGCAACTACATGTCCTCCTATCGACAGGATTCAACTGGCTATGAGATGGACTATTGTCTGGATTGGTTAGATGTTCTGCCCACCGATGCGGCCATCATATTCCATTTATTTTGCGTTTATATGGACAGCCAGTTGTTGCCATTGCCGCAGATTGGAGGAGAAAGACCTTTCTATTCCCGATATGTAATAACCAGGGATTATAAAAGCAAGGAGAACGTAGTGTCGCGTGTGAAGAACAGAGCCAACTGTGCCATTTTGGTCACCAGTAACGCAGATCGCGAACCCAACTTCAACTTCATCAGCGACAATCAGGTGCACGAATGCGTGTACAACAGGAACAATCTGTTTCACGTGATCATCCAGTTCTTCACCTATATGCGGGATAAGCGGGGTTCCGAACTGGAGTCGGTCAATCTGGGACAGAGTGGCATCAACATCATGGGCGTCATCGAAAACAGAACCGACTCCACAGTCCAATAATTCTTTATGTGTAGAGCAAGAACTGTATTTTAATGACATTTTTATTGTTTTCTGACTGCGTATTCCTCGTTTGTTGGTATTCGTTCAGGCAGTTGGAAAATAAACAACAGACTTTTGAAGACATAAACACTTAAAAGGAAAGATAATTGCATCGCTTGCTAAATCTTGTTAAATCTTATCAGCAATGAAATTCCTTAAAATTATTATACCCTTGCAGAGGGTATTATGATTTCAGTCAGAAGTTTGCAACGCAGTGAAGGAGACGTTTCCGACCCCATAAAGTATATATATTCTTGTTCAGCATCACTAGACGAGTCGATCTAGCCATGTCCGTCTGTCCGTCCGTCTGTCCGTCTGTCCGTCCGTCTGTCCGTCCGTCTGTCCGTCTGTCCGTCCGTTTCTACGCAAACTAGTCTCTCAGTTTTGAAGCTATCGCGATGAAACTTTCCCAAAAGTCTTCTTTCTATTGCAGGTAGTATATAAGTCGGAACCAACCGGATCGGATAACTATATCTTATAGCTCCCATAGGAAGGAAAAGTTAAAAAAATTCTAGCTTCGGTGTTTTTTGAAATAAAACCTTCTACTCTTGGAAATATTATTTTTTAAATATTTCAGAATTTCGAATAAAATATTTTAAAAATCGGACGACTATATCATATAGCTGCCATAGGAACGATCGGAAAATTAATGGGAAAGTTACACAGAAATAAATTTTAGCTTTTTTGGTTTTTATTGTATTCTTTTCTACTTTAGAACATGACTCTTTTTAAATATTTCCGAATTTCAATTTTCATTTTATCAAAATCGGACGACTATATCATATAGCTGCCATAGGAACGATCGAAAAATTAATGGGAAATTAATTGGAAACAAATTATAGCTCCGTTGGTTTTTATTGTATTCTCTTATACTCTAGGATATGATTTTTTTTAATATTTCAGTGTTTTGAATTAAATTTAACAAAAATCGGACGACTATATTATATAACTGCAATAGGGAAGGATAGAAAAAATAATATTAAAATAATACAAAATTTAAAATTTTTGCGATTTGTAAGTTAATAGGAACGATCTGCAAGGGTATATAAGCTTCGGCTGGCCGAAGCTAGCTTTCTTTCTTGTTTTTTTAAACGAAGTCAAACAGCCAATCCATAGTATGTAGGAATACAAACTTAATATAGTTATAAAACTTGGTTTATCGTTAATTTAACAAGAAGTCGATATTGATTTCATCGTCGAATGGGTTTTGGCATTGCGGTTGTAGGCGATGGTTTTGTTGGCGATGGCGACCTTGGAGTTGTCGGTGAAGTTGTTGTTGTTTTTGTTCCTGGAGTTGTCGTTCTTGTTGTTTGAAATTATTCTGGAGTCTATCATTTTCAGCCGCCGTCTTTGCAGCTATTTTATACAGATAATTGAACTTTTCCTCAATGGACATTATTTTGGATTTTCCAGGCCCCTCGAAGAACTCATTAACTGTCATTTTAGTATAGTCGATAAGACTCAACACGGTCTTGATATACTGGCTATGTATCTCTTTAGAACTGGGGATCAAGGCTACAAAGTTAGCATCAGAAATGTTTGAGTTCTTTATGCTTTCAACTGACTGATCTTTTAAAGTTTCCGCGTTTTTCTCCCTTTGATTTTCGAGTCCGTGGCACTCGCACTTATTAAGATCGCTTTGGTTGAGCTCTAATCCGTGAATGGCCACATACTTCTCTACCATTTCAAAACGAAATTTTTCAGCAACAGAGTCCTTTATAACCTTCAAGTACTCTCTGAACACATCCGAACCCAGTGCATAAATCTCTTCTGGGGTTTTAGTCCCTGAAATTCCCTTTTTTAGAGCATCGGAAATCTTGCTGATGTGTTGCATGTCGTTCACGTGATGCGCATGCTCAAAGTAGAGTAGCAAGTCCGAGTGTATCATTTTGGGTAATCTTTTCAGGAAGATATCCACGCAGGCCAGCTTTAGCGGTTCTACCATCCACATGTTGGCGCACTCCTTCAGCTTGATTATATCCTTGTTGCTGTAGTTATTGAGGGATGCCCTGTCGTAGGTGTAGACAAATAGACGGAACTTTTCGAAAGTGTCCTCCGTAACATCTGTTAGGGTCACTTTGTAAGTTTTTCCCTCAACGAAACCCGGCTGAAAGGCGCGCTTGAAGAACTCCGAAGCCACTCCCAGAACCGCCTATGAAAAATGTATACTTTAAATATGTATGTGTATGAAAAACATGGATGAACTACTCAGAGATAAAATGATTTTTTAAAATGCCGTTTTAGGTGCCAATTTTAACTTACGTATGCTTTTGAAAACTTTATTTTTAACTTTTTCACCCTGATTTTGCACCTTAAACGTCGCATTTTACGGACTAATTTTATCTGTTTAGTTGTATTATCTATATATATGTAAGTTCATACTTTGTGGCAGGGGAACCTGCGCGTTCCAACAATTACACAGCAGTCGGTAAAGTCGCCCTCCTCCATAAGTTTCTTATAAGAACTGGCCAGCCTATGCAAATAATATATAAACAATAAACTGTATATTATAACATTATAAGCAATGTTTTATATGTAATTGCTTTTTTTCATACCAAGACTCCATTGTTGCTGGATTAGTTGACACCACTTTTAATAAGATTTATTTATTCCTGTTATTCCTTCAACACTAGTTGACCTATTGTTTCAAAATCTTTTGACTAACAAAATATAAAGAACGCAGTACTGGACACGACAATTTATACAGGTGCTTTTCTTGAATGTGCCGTCTTCATTCCTTACCAAAACTCGATTTTTGCTATATTAGTTGATAACAAATTCGATTAGATTAAGCATGCGCCATTACATATAGGTTCTACTACGTATATGTAATACTACAATTTATTTAGGTGCTTTCCCTGACTATGTCGCCTTCATTAATCTGAATTTTGAAACTTCAAATCGAACCCCTGGTTTGTATAAACCATAATGAAAAAGTTATAGTAAGTTGAGTTCAGTTTGAAAATATAAATCAGTTCGTCCGTCTATATTGGCAGTAATGTAAGTCCTGAAAAGGAACCTCAAATTGTTTTACTTATTAGATATGTTCCATCTTCCAAGGAATTTTTTTTTTAACTGCGGCTTTGTTTTGTTTTATTTATGTTATTGAACAAAAAAGTATCTTTAAATTTTCGATATATTTAGTATGTAGGAATACAAACTTTATCGTTTATCGTGGCTTTCCAAAAAAATACAGTGGTTGTTGTTGCTTTAAATTATCCTGCAGTCTACTATTTTCAGCCGCCGTCTTTGCAGCTATTTGATGCATAAAATTGAACTTGTCCTCAAGGGACACCATTTTGGATTTTCCAGGCCCCTCAAAGAACTCATTAACTGTCATTTTAGTAAAGTCGATAAGATTCAACACGGTCTTTATAAACTCGCTCTGGATCTTTTTAACACTGGGGTCTAAGGAAACAGGGTTTGCATCAGAAAAGTTTGAGTTCTTTACCTTGATCGGGGTTGGACTTGCGCTTTTGTTTGTTTTCCTTTTTCGTTTAACGGGCAGATCTTTTGAAGTTTCCGGTTTTATCTCTCTTTGATTTTCGAGTTCGTTTTGGTTGAGTTCAAATCCGTGAATGGTCACATACATCTCTACCATTTCAAAACGACGTATTTCTATCACGGAACCATTTATAACCTTTAAATACTCTATGAAGACATCCGAACCCAGTTCATAGACCTCTTCTGGGGTTTTAATGCCTATAATTTCCCTTTTCAGAGCATCGGAAATCTTACTGATGTGTTGCATGTCGTGGACGTTATGCGCATGCTCAAAGTAGAGTAGCAAGTCCGAGTATAACATTTCAGGATATCTTTTCTGGAAGATATCCTCGCAGACCACCTTTAGCGGTTCGACCATCCACATGTTGGCGCACTCCTTCAGCTTGATTATATCCTTGTTGCTGTAGTCATCGAGGGATGTCCTGTCGTAGGTGTAGACATATAGACGGAATTTTTCAAAAGTGTCCTCGGTAACATCGGTTAGGGTCACTTTGCCAGTTTTTGCCTCAGCGAAACCCGGCTGAAAGGTGCGCTTAAAGAAATCCGAAGCCGCTCCCAGTATCACCTAAATGAAATTAATATTATTATGTAAGTATCATAAGTAGTACTATTTTTCAATGTTTTACATACCTTGTGGCAAGGAAACCTGCGTTTCCCCACAATTACACAGCAGTCGGCGAAGTCGCCCTCCTCCATGAGTTGCTTAAAAGAACTTGGCAGCCTATAGAAATAGTATTACACATAAATAATGTTGTTTTTCGTGTATTGTTTTTGCTTTTTTCCTTACAAGAGGTCCATAGTTCCTAGATCAGTTAGCTTGGATCTTCAACCGGCTGAATTACCTTAAACACTTGCTAAATTATTTTTTCGAGGAGTATTGACTTTCAACATGAAAAGTATGCGTTAGTAAATACGAAATATATTTCCCTTTATGTAATCCAATTGAGTATGCCGCTTTCGCTCAAATGATTTGGAAGCTTCAGCTTCAGCTTCACAGGGACGAAAACTGCTGGCTAAGCACAAAAATACCATATTTACCAAATGTTTTTCGAAAATTGGCACCAATTAATTTTTTTTGCTGCACACCACAAAGAATAATATTTTTCGACTAGTGACTCCTAGCCGATGTTACTAATAGGTTTTATTAAATAATTGTGTTTCTTTGTAACTAATAGTGGAGTACCCCCAATATTTACATTTAAAGAATGTCCCTAATATTGTAATTGTATCGATGGTCACCCCAAAAAATCGCCACTATGTAATAGTATTTAGCGTATAGCGTTTAAGCAGTTGAAAAATAGACACTAGACATTTAAAGACATTAATACTTCCAAGGAAAAAAAATGCATTGCTTGCTAAATCCCAAACCTTGTTATCTGCAATGAAGTTCCCCCAAAGAAAATAAAAATAAAAACGAAAATACAAGACATTTTTTATTATTGAAATACGATTAAATAATGTGTAATACAAAAATGATTATTTTTTAAGAAAGGCACACATTTTAGTTATTCATGTAGGAATCGACAGCCACAGTTGTTTTTTTATAATGACTTGTACATAAACGATAAAGTTATAGTAAGTTAAGTAAAAAGATTTAAAATATAAATCAGTCCTTCAGTATGTATTGGCTGTAATGTAAAC